AAAGAGCATACAAGGCGATTTTAAGGATGATATCAATTTATGTTACAGGGCATTCAGATTTTACACTAAACAGTCATTCAATACTTAAGATTTCTTTATTACTGTTATGTCGGTGCTTTTGAGTGTCTGACAGTAAACGATGGTATTAAATGTCAGAGTGCTGTCTCATGCTGGGCTGTCAGTCCGACGATGCATCAGCAATATTTTGATATATTAAAGTAATCCTGAAAAAATTTGTTTATTTATTTTCTAGTCAAAGTCTGAAGACTGTGTCCATCTCGTTTGCCCCCTCACTTCTTCTTCTCTTCATCCTTTTTGCCCTCTGGCTTGTTTCCTGTCTGGGAGGCCAGGGAGCCCATAGCGTTGCGGATGGCTTCGTTGTTCGGGTCGACACCAGGCAGGTTCTCCAAGACGCTCTGAAGGAACTCCGGGTCTTGCATCACATCATAGTCATCTTCCTCCTATTCAATTGCATTAGAGGATACAATAGATTAGAATGGATTAGGCCTTTTGTGGTTTTAAGATCTCCAAACTATGTCTGGTCATCTTGTATGTAAAATATTCTTAGGTGGGAGAAGCCACTGGTTACAGGGTATTTTCCCCATTGTAGCTTTTCCATTTCAATGTTTTCTTTTCCAATTAAAAATGTCCTGTCAAACTTTGTTGTTGCAATTAGGAACAACGGTATTTTGGGGTTTCTACTAGGCGTAATATTTAGCTTCCACTTACCGTTAGCAGCACACACAACAGGATTTAAATCTTGATGTGATGTTTACACTAAATCCGCGTTGGGAGTCATACACAGGTCTGCACCTTTGACTTTGAGCTTTTAATCAAAGAACCAGATATTTTCTAAAGCAGTTGCTCATTTGTTTACACTGACAATTCACTTTTACTTTCAGGACCTTGGATGCCAGAAATAATTCCTCCACCCTTTCCAACTCTATTGAGAATACAAAAGGGACAGGTGAGCCCCATTTAACAATTGCTCCTTTAAAACATGATTACTCACCTTGGCTGATTCTCCAGTGTCCATGGGAGCTGCTGCATCCATTTCTCCATACTCTGTTCACAGAACAAGTGAAAATAACTTATTATCTTAGACATACCAGCAGATAGAGTGGCCATAAGTTATAGCAAGCACATCTATTTGCATGATAATCAAATGGAACTCACCTCCTCCGGCAAGGGACATCTGCATGGCGTAGGCTATCTGCTCCTCCTCTGTCATGCTGCTGAAGTCAGGAAGCACTGCTGCAGCACTCTCAGGCTGAGATACTGACATCTTCAATAAGGCGTCCTCTGATTCTGTGAAAAAAAAAAAATCAAAACTAAGTAAGTGTCATTCTATCAAATACTAACAATTATAATAAACAGAGCTGTCTCATAAGTGAAAGCAACTAGTTGTTAATCCTGCAACAATTACCATCTGCACCGGCTGTGGGCATGCTTGCATCCATGCCTCCATCCGTTGCAGAAGCAGCAGCAGCTCTGCGGGCCTCTTCCTCCTGCCTCTGTCGCTGCTCCTCCATTGATACACGCAGGGCCTAAAGGAATTCACAGAGACGGCACAGTGAGAAATAAAGGCAAAGGGCATCACTTCAAACTCTAAACTGCGAACACCTTTTTATTGTAACAAAGTCAACGTGCACTTGAGATCTCATGTTCTTTGCATTCTTGGCCCAATTCGTTTCATCGTCTTTATCAAGCACTCTCTTTGCAGCAGTGAAATTTTAGTGAAGAAAAGTCACACATTATTGCTATTTTTAATACCATGCAGCATCACATTGGCTTTCTATGTGTGGATGAGTTTCTAACCTTAAAGAGCTGATCCACATGTATTTGCTATGTAAACAGCATCTCTCACATTGGTGTTAGTGTGGGTACATCTTGAATGGACTAGCTGATAGTTTTTCACTCAATCTATACAATAACGGTATAATAGCAGTTAGGTGCTATGATTTAACTTTGTTGCCGTTGTCGTAAACAAACTGTTTGCTTTAAAAGAACCCTTGAATTTCTCTCTCAAGACAATACATCAAAGTTAACATTTATGCTAGGTACTAAACTCACATCTATATATTGCTTACCAGGGCAAGTTCTGGATCAGCACTGGGATCCACACCAAACTCAAAGTCACTGGCACCGAGACCCATCATAGAGCCTCCTTCCCCGGCCAAGATGGGAGAGGAGAGCAGCGCATCAGCCAGACTGGGTCCTGGAGGCACTGTGACCAGGTGGGAGCCAGTCCCCTCTTTCCCATTTAAAGTATTAATAAAAGCAGTCAGCTTCTCTGTGTTCAGCTCCTGAATAAACAGTTGGGAGATAGATGGAAAGGCAAGTTCAAAGCTCAATTTATAAATACATTATGCTTCACTTCACTCTGCCTTATAGCAGTGCAACGATAGATAAACCAAGAAGGCCTCACCTCTTCTCCAAAGTTGATAATATCCACATTCACTTTCTCTTTTTTCAAGCGCTTTGCCAACTTGACAAGCTGCAGAATCAGCAGGTGGAACAGTAGCAGGTTGAGATGAAGAAAGACAGACATACATTGGCAGTGTTAGAGACAGTGGGAGAATGTGTTAAACCTATGATGTATAATAAAATATATAATAAATAATACAAATGTGATACAAGAATACTTTAAACTAACTTCTTTTTCATTATCCTCCACAGGACTCCCAACAAAGGCAATGATCCTCATCTTGTGGTTTTTTCCTTGTCTGTGTTTTAGGGCCAGCTACACAGGAAATGCATGACAAAAAAATATGGCTACTCAAAAACTGCTGCTGCAGACATCAAAACCCTCTTATTTACAATTCAGGTAATCACTAGGTATAGCCCTTCTGTTAAAGCTAGGGTTGGTAATGTTCTTCAAGAACTTTATTATATTTTTTGACAATTTAATAAATAAATCCAATACGTGGCAGTCACAGGACTGTAATAAATCCATCCAATCATTGATTGAATAATTGGACAGCCTACCTGTTTGTCTATCTGGGCACTAATTGTGCGTCGTCAAAGTCTTCCTTCAGCTGCTAGCTTGACAGCTGCGAGTACAAACAATTGCCATGATCGTTGTTTCCGTTAAGTTATGGGGCTGTAAATGTTGCCAACTTGGCGACTTTCTCCATAGGTTTGAGGACTTTTGGAGCTAGCGCTATTAGGTACATTTGTTGGACAAGAGTTGGGAACACTGGCACGACATCTTCGGTTGGATCATTTTTTTAAATCTAGTTTACTCTTACTGGTTTCTCAAGATTACCAACCCTAGCTTTCATTTTGAAACAAATGCTTAAAATGAGAAAAATCTCAGTTACACACATGAGCCACTCTGATGCCCGTGCAGAAGCAGATATTTCCTTTGGGCTGGATAGCGTGGAGTTTGGACAGGAGGCGGCCAGAGTCTGGTGTCAGCGTGTTCAGGACCTCACAGTTACTGTATGAAAACAAAAACAAACATCCCGTGCTGTCCATCATCCCCCACCATGTACAACAAAACCAATTGTGCTATGAAGTGTTTGAAGAGATATGAGGATGAACACTATTAGAACTTATGATAATTTATGTGAGAATAACTTACTTTGCCATAGTGAGGAGGCCCACATTGTTTTCTGGATTGCTTCGTGTTTTAGAGTGACAAACAATGTTGACAGCATCTTGTTGAGCTTGTAGCCTCGTTGGTAGAAAGTCTCCATTTCTCATGTATTCACTGTTGTCCACACTGTGGGGAAATATAAGTTAAACGTGGCTCTGATCACGTTAGAGTTACGTCACTCACATTAGGCTGCTAACTAGCTAACGTTAGCAGTTGACATGTCATTCCCATATCAACCCGAGACCAAGCTAGTTAGCATAGGCCTTGTAGCTAGTTTACAATAATACATCTCAATTCCTCTTCACTACCAGCTACATAGGAAACGTTTACCTTCTTCATCTGGGAAGTAAATTTATGGTGTTAAATAGAGTTAAAATGTCGGTACAATAATAAAACGGCATTAACACGGCTAGCTAACGATAGCAACCGGTGACTCCACATAACATTAAGTCGATGGTCGAAACAATCACATCATCGTGGATATCAGTTGATTATGAAGATAAAAAGTATCTTACTTAATTGTAAGGTAAATAATAATCATGAATGTAACGTTATTCATATATGGCACAGCTCGCAAAAGATAGTTTAATAAGACCGCAAATCTAAGCTAACTTTAGCTACAATGACTCAGCCGTTAGCCGAGCTAACAGTCAACGGTCAATTATCTGCCCTGTGAACCGGGACATTTGCTCTAAATTCAGGTCAAATATCTAGTACACCGACAGATAGATTATTGTGTCTTCGTGTGACCCGCTAACAGACCAACAACTATACAAAACAGCATTTGTAGACTTCTTACCAGACCATAGTACTTTCGAGCCCCATTTTGGAAAGTTCTTGTTGCTGTCTGTCGTAATCTTACAAGCTCACAGTCTATTGGACAAAGACTGAACAAAGTGAAATATGATTGGCCAGGTTTTTGGCCGGTATTTATTTCACTCTTTTACGTTCTATTTATAACTTATGTCTTATGTTGAGCACTTTGAATTTTTTGAACAATTAATTAACTTTCCTCGCTCGTGCAGATGATATTGCTTTTACTCAGTTGTAATGGAGACAGTTCAGAGTAGAATGGCATCTTATTTATTGTGCAAATAAAGACTAGGATTGGACAATGTGAATAAAATCCTATTTCAAAGTTAACGTTATTTTGTACTGCAATTTCCATATAAAATATATATTGTTCAACTTAAATTGCAATAGATATGATGTAGTGCATTTTAAATTGAATTAAATGCTGTTTATTATTCTTTGACATTGCAAGGGCATAGTACACCAAGAAATAAAGGGATAGCTAACTCATTAATATCGTCTTACAGTATGTATCAGTCATATTTCATAACAAAATTAAAGACAGAAAACATCTGTATAATGTAATACAATCAAAAAAAAAGCAACATTTATTTTTTATTTCATAAATTCAGGTAGAAGTGTACAAAAACATGAAATCACCAAAAGAGCAAGAGAGAGAACTTCTAAATACATATTCTGGTGGAAAAGGCAATATTGTGATTATTGCATACAGTTGCACACATTTACTGTATATAATGCAAAGGCAAGTGAAGACTAATGAACAAATTATACAAAAAAATTAAAGGATGATTTCACAATTGTTATATTAATCAAAACCATCACAACGAAGACACGTTTTACTACAATTGCATGCCTTTGATACAAGCTTGTTGTGCTAGAGAAAGGCACATTTTCAATCAATACTCATTAATAAACATGCTGGACACCAGAGCAATACATACAGTAATAAATACTATAATACATATGACTATGTACATGTTTGGTTCATAGGCTGCATGTCTAACTGTTTTAAAGTTCATACCATAAGACACAGTTTCACTTCAAAATAGGGTCGGACAGTTTGATATAACAGCGAGCAGAATAAAATACCTCCACATACCATTAACAGGATGTATAAAACTACCCAAATGATGCATGTTCTTCTTTTCTTGGTCGGAAATTTGTCATGTAATTGAATGTATTGCACCACTGTCTATTCATTCAGGAATACAGTATATATGCTGTAAACAAATCATTTAGTTGCATAGTTGAAGCATCTTTCAAGCTACTGATTTAATTTGGCTGTCTAAAAATGTATTCTAAAACGTTTCTGCATTTTAAAACATCGAACAATAATTAACATTTAAGCATTTCACATCCATGTTTAGTGCTAAAACCCAGCTTGAATCAAACAACCAATAATGTCTACCAGTTTGTGTACAAAAGGCAGACAAACCATTTAGTACTTTTATACACCAGGCGGCCATCACCATGTTTTCCTAATGAAAAACATTACTACTATATCTTAATTGGGCTCGGTCTCAAAAATCTCTCTTTACAAATTTGGATAACCCGTACAAACACAGCTCACACAGCTGGCTCTGTTAACCCCGGGTTTACTAGTTCAGCTTATGACAGACGCACGTTTCTTTAATTACAATCCAATCACATGCAACAAATCAACTAAAATTGATTTAACGACAGATGGAGAAGATAACCCTTTTGGGAAATTGCAGCAACCAAGGCTGTGTTAAGGTTAGATCATAATTAATACAACAAAATAGTACGAGTAATGTTGAGGAAGTACTTGATGCACAACTCGTTTATCAATATCGGGATCATGAAAACAAAAAGCTGAAAATAATACAACAATCAAACTGCCATACATCTTAATCGGTGTGAAATATATCAGCTTTAATATGTGGTTGACATAAGTAAAGGAGAAAATAGATCACTCAAATTTGAGTAATCCATATATTAAGTTTATACATAGCTTTTTGACTATTACCAGTGGACTAATGCAGAGTGTGAGAGTAACATTTTAAAAAATATAATAAAAACGCAGGACCACCCATGTTTATAGTTTTAAATATTCAGAAGAAAAGTCAAAACTCCTACCAACATATATTGCTAAATTTCTTTTGGCCAGTGCATCCTACCCTAGTTTTCTTCTCTTTCTCCTGGTTACTTAGGAGAAAAGGACAGACAATAACACTCAAGCAAAAATCTGGTCAAAATGTTGAAAAATAAAAACAAACAGATACGAATATCAACAGGAAGCAAACAAACAAAAATGTTCTTACACTCATGAGCCGTTAGACAAAGTTGCTGAAGCTGTCACTTTCTTTGACAGCCGGTTGTGCAAATCACTACATCTTCAGGTCTAAACTGCTGCTGCTGCTGCTGCTTTTTGGCTTTAGGTGCCACCGTTTGGACTGGACTGCAGGTCTGAAACTGCCGGTGGTGTAATGGTTATGCAATTGGATGATATTAGTGGAGGCTAGTTTCAGATGCTTTACATAAATTACCCAAACAATGCAGATGCTCTGTTGTTATTAAATAAAATATACCTACTTAGAAAATCACATTATTTTCTCCAGGGCTGCAGTGTTAGAATATGTCATTGGATACCAATAGAAATACTCTTTATTCTATTTTATAGTCACAGTGGGACACCTGCTTATCCTGCAAACATTTACTATATTACCATTTAAAATATCATAATTTATAATGAAAAACAAAGTGATTGTACCACGTTTGTAATCATGTCATGCTTTTTGGTACATGACACTTTCTGCGTTTCTGTTCATTAAGCCCATGTAAAATTGTGAGAGGTGGTTCTTTTATATATATTAAAAAAACCTCAAACTTAGCTGACTAACTCATTGGTATTGCTTCATGAGGCAGGCCCCAAGTCACTGAGTATCAGTTCTTTGGTCACATTTAGACATAAGCCAGTAGACACAATAAACCTGAAACTGATATCAAACTGTACAGTGTAAGTATAAAAAAATCATTTTAATATAACCCTTTGACCTGAATATGAGAGGTAACATTTAGAAATCACAGTCCATTATTAGAATAATTGGTTAAATAAAAACCACAAGCTGAGGATCACCTCTATTTCCAGCATGATTTGCATTCAGAGTAGGCTTTAAAAATGGCAGCTTACCAAGTATATATATACAGAAATTGCTTTAAAAACATGTTTTATTTGAAACTGTGTTCCCAACCCAAATAATATGGTTTTGTGTTAAGACATCTTAGTCAATCATGTAGTAGGAAACGGCTCGGGCCTTTGGGTGGTGGGACAGACACTTACAGAAACGAGTATGTACAAGGATGTGCTACAGCATTTGGTAAACACAAAGGAGGAAGTAATTCTAAAAAGGAGACAATAAAATTCAGGAAACACTTAAATAAAGACAGTCTCAAATAAGGCAAAGTCCTCATGTTACATTCTACATCAAATGCTGGCCGAGTTTAAACATCAGTGCCAAGAACAATCTGGTTGTGCATAGAATCATTCCTATGAAATGAATAATAGTGTTCAATAACCACAGCATTAATGTACCCGCAATTACTAGTGTCGGAACACAACCACCCACTGACATGCCCATACCATGTTGAGATTTGGATATCATAGTGCAAACAAAAACATTGAATGGTCCGCTTGGTCTCGCTGATGCACAGTAAACTTTACCTCAAATCACACAAAAGGGGGGTTCGTAACAATTCATCCACGCCCATGACTTCCTCCAAGTCTCGGATCGGATCCTTTAAGTTCATTCTTTTACACCTAAAAACCAAAAGGCAATGAACACAAGTTACAAAAAAACACTCGGCAGAAGCAAAATCTGTCACAAGAAATTAAAAACTTTTAAGCTACTTACAGAGCATTTGCTTGCTTGAGGAAGAATGTCACTGAGTGAGATCACATCCTCAGAACCGATACTTTCGTCATACTGAGCTCTGCAAACAACAAAAGACCAGTGTAAGTGAATCGAACCTTCACACAATAAGAAACACTACTACTTGTGTATAAAAATGTAATGAATATACAAAAAAAAAACTCGAAATACTTTTTAATTGTGTTTTTTTAGCCAAGGTTTACTTGAGATTAGCATGATGGAGATGTTTGCCACTAGATGGCACTTTTAACAATGCTGCACTGCCGTTATGCATGCTGACTTTTCTTGAGGTTCTGGTTAAACGACATTTATACGGCAGCCTTCACTCCCACCCACAACACAACAAACCACAGCCACTCAAACTATGTGAGCTGGGATGTGTACACACCTTTTGCACAGTTAATAATTACCATCATTATTAACACTGGCATCATGTAAGATAATAGACTTGAATCTGAGTTCAAACTGTAAATATCCGACTACACATTTAATCATTAGACACTATAATCCATGACAGACCTAAACACATTTGAATATGCATATACGTCTGACGAGCTCTCATATGAAAATACTATTCTTAATGTATGTTTTCCCTCTTACTTCTTGGGGGAGCTGAGCTCCTGGTCTTTACTCGGAGTGTTGTTTAAATCCACTTCCACTGGCTTGTAGGTGTCCTCAGAGTGAGGCGGAGGCTGACTTGTGGGAAGAAATCCAGGGTTTCCCAAGGAGGAGGCGGCGGTGGTTTCAGTAGCGTTGCCAACAGCGGTGCCAACAGCGGTGCCAACAGCGTTGCTGGGCGGTAAGGTCTTTGGGAGGAGGTCAGGACGATCTGAATGCATGACTGGGTGGAACGGGAGTGGAGTGGGTTGGAAAAGTGTTAAGATTGTGTTGTGAAAGAAACACTTCACGTGCTGGTACATGCTGGAGGACTGCCGGTATCAAAAAACTAAACTAGATTTCAGCACTTCACTTGAAACCTGAAATCCTGTTTCGAGTTCTTACCGTTGTCTCCTTCAGTGTCTTCTTTGGTGTCAGAGCTGACTTGATGTTGGAGGTTGGAGTGCTGGCTGTTGTTGCTCATTTGGGTCATCAGAGAAGGCCCGGCACCAGGTGTCTTCCTCAAAGGACCATGTGTCACTGCACGCCGCTTCTTAGACGGCGATGTCTTTACTAGATACAAGAGGAAAAGTATTATTTAAGAGGCCAAAAAATGACACTGACATTATGGGCTCAATTTTTGTGTTTGGGCAATAGTGCAACCCAGTGGGCAGAGAGGCACGTCTGAGGGTGTGGCAATGCAATCTTGGTGTCAAGATGTATTCTGTGATATTTTGGTCACTTTAAGTGGTGAATGGAAACCTACATAAACTTCTGAAATCAAACAAACACCATTATTCATGTTTAGTCCAACTTTCCACTTTTGATCTACGTTTTTTTAAACTCGCTGACATTTGACTTATTTTTTTACAATTCTTTTTGGCCCTTTTTGCCATTATTAGATAGTTAGAACAGGTAGACTAGAAAGGGAGACAACATGCAGCAAAGGTTGACTCTTTATTGCCACCTGAAGGCAGCAGATATTTGTTTCATCAGCAGTCTAGAATGTTGAGTGATGTTAATGAATTCAACAAGAGTCATCATCTGCTCTTGGCAGGATGTTTGAGCAGCTGTTTCTATATTTGAAACTCTGCACGTCCAAGACAACAATACGTTTCCTCTGAGGAAAGCTCCCCACAGGGTTCCCAAACTGTCAATGCACCATGACAGGAGAGAGCCCTGTGCTTAAAGGCAATGAAAGCAACAAATGCGCCGAGCAATGAGGTGACACAGGTGTGATCTGTGCCACACAGTATTCATCCGCATACATTCATGGATACAATATGTACTTACATAAGACCTTCTTGAAGACTGCATTGGACATGAACTTCTGAAATCGTTCCGCATAGAAACTCGGTCTGTGTACCGACACAGTGTCCTACAGAAGAGGAAAGATTACAGGGTTTACTTAGAGAAATGTAAATTCAAACTAATTTAAAACACAATTAACTGTGGCTAGATGATGTAGTAGAGGATGTAGCCTACCCCGTCGTGAACCAAAGCTTTCCACGAGTGTTCAAGCTTCTTCACTAATCTGAAAAACACCACACAGAGCATAGATCAATACTGTGCTTGAACACATCCTGTGTAGACGACACAGACAGGGCACTGAAGCTGCCGCTGCCTTGCTAACGGGCTGCTTTTGCTATGCAGGCTGTGTAGCCTTCGTGCGTCACTGACTGCACAAAGGCTTTAGAGTTATACAAACGTGTGCTGTTTACCTATAGGACTGCAGAATGTCAATAATACCAATATACACCAGCAGCCTCTCGCCTTTTGAGTTTCGTGCAGGGATTCCTCCCGTTCTGTCAAATCAAAGAAAAAGAAATATCATTCAGTGTTCCGTCATTACTCTCAGTAAACATGACCACTGAAACACGTCACTCACTGGTCCTCTGTTTCCGGTGATCCCATGCTCCCTGCCTCAGCCTGGATGGCCTCTATAGCAGTGCTGTACAGGGACTTTTGACCTTGTGGCTTCCGTTGGTCCACGGCCCCGGCCCCGGCCCCGGCCACCGCCTCTTTGCTGGCCTGCTCTCGACAGGCTTGATCTACATTGTGGATTCCCACCAGAAGGCTGTAGTCCATAATCTTAAAACTTTGCAGAAGCTGAATGGAAAACAAAAAACACACCAGACCAGTGATTACAAATGAATTAGGAGGAAAATACATGAGAAAAATGTAAATATGTCTTACTAATAATCTATGTAAATAAATTTGAAGTTATCCCACTTGTAGCCTCATGTTTAGACAGGCATTCATCTGTAGTTCTTACCCGGCAGTCTCTCTGGATGGTCTTGCAAACAGCACTATACTTGTCCCCCTCCAGTATCAGCCCATTCTGCATGTCCTGCAGGAAGTCCAGGTCCTTGTATGTGGGCTCAGACTTTTCTTTCTCTTTAGCTGAGGCCCGCCGCTTGTAGGTGGAGCCCTTTAGATCATACTTGAGGTGCATTTGTACGGCGCTCGGGAGCAGATTGTTCATAACTGCTATACGGATGTTTTTACCCGCTGCCTGGACACAGCAGAGTCCATAAAACTTTGGTAATAAGGTCCGTTTGTTCTGGTTCAGGTTCTGAAAGAGAGCAGAGAGGATGGTAGAAGGATAGTACAATATTAAAACAAAATCCAAACAGCCTTACATGTTGCACATTAGCCATGGAAAAAAAACAATGCAGAGACAATATTTTGCCAGAGCTTGTCGTCAAAAATAGTAAAAAATGGTACGATTCCTTTAGTGCCGCAACTAATGATTATTTACATTAACAATAGTCATTGTAAATTATTCTCTTGATTTATCATGTTGTCTACAATATGTCAGAAAATAAGGAAAATGCCCAAGGTTATTAAAGCCAATCATTAGATCTTACCATGAAGTAACCTGGGAGCAGTTTCTGCAGAAACTCCGCCTCTTTGTGCTGCACGGTCTTAATGATGAACTCATCATCACTGGAGACGTAGAAGAGAGATCCACTCGCCCCGGAGTTCGATAGCTCGATCAGCGGCTCATTACACAGAGAGTACTGTCACCAGACCAGAGCACAGTAGTTAGAAATGTTATATTATAGAAACTAAAGAACTATGAACACTGGTTAAAAACAAGTCAGCTAGGACTTTACATCGTAAGCAGCCCCCACACCTAGTGTGTCGATGCCCAATTATTTCACGCTTCCCTGGTTACACTCTTTCACACCTCTCTTCTCACAGTTATTTCACTTTCCTCAGAGTTTTACTGTTCTGCTAGCACATTTTCTGATTATCACAGATGCTGAGTAAACAAGAATACCATGTAGTCATCAGGTCGGATGCCAAACATCTCTCTGAAGTACCGGAAGGCCATTGGGGCGTACGTCTTGAACCTGAAGTCTCCGTAGTGGTGGGCTGGTGTTAGGTTACTGCCCTCACTGCCAGTAAAAGACAAGAGGCAGAGGATTAGATAACATACAAGGAGGTTAATTAAAGGAGTAATTATTTAGTATAGACAGAACACCATCATCTTTACAACTTGTCTTTAACTCAAAATTTTACCTGGGAAAGAAGAAGCTTTCGACTACTTCAAAGTCTTGCAGCAGCACGTCTCTCTCAGGTTTCTGGCTTAAGCTGCCCACCGTGTGAGCGATGCCTAACTGGATAGCACCTTGTAGGGCTGAAGATGTTGTCTGGAAGACAGAGCGAACTGACATGACTCAAATGACAAATACAGTTCAGATCTGTCTATGGTTTATATATTATTAACCAATCATAAGCAATAGGACTTGACAAGAAAGATTTGACATATTTTCATAAATTAACAGTGACTATAGATCTGCAACAATTACTTGATTAATCAGGGAACAAAAAATGAATCTGCACTTTTTTCGCTAATTTATTAATTGTTTGAGTCTTCTCTAAAGCAAAGGCACCAAACATTATCTTTACAATTTACATATCGTTGTGTTTTGGACTGTTGGTCAGACAAAACAAGACATATGAAGATGTTACCTCTGGCTTTTAAAAATATTATAGAATAAGCGATTAATCATAAAAATATTTGGCAGATTAATAGATAAGGCAAATTATTGTTGGTTGCACTCAAAAGTGAGTGAATGTAAATGTGCTTCAGTCAATGAAGGCTGATCTCCCACCTTCTTGTACGTCGTCTCCCCAGTGGTATCAATTCCACGATGGCCGATGGTCTTTTTCATGGCCGGAGTCATGCTGGTGCTTGGACTCTGAGTAAAAACATGGCGGGAAAATGAAATAGAAGCGGAAAGAAAGTCTGCTGTGAAGTAATACCCTCATGTTTCAAAGAGGAAGGAATGGAGGGTGTGTCAGCTAAATGTCTGTAAATTCTGTAAAGACAAACGCAATGCGTTTCCCAACAGTCACAGAGCTAGATTACGCATTTCCTGCAAACGAATCAGTTATTTCTTACCTCGGGAGGAGCATTTTTTCGGGTCCCAGCCGAATCTCGAGTGAAAAGGGGGAAGAAACATGAAAGTTAGAAAATAAAACACAAGGAGGGAAAGAAATAAGTTAATCAAACAAATGTAATTCTCACACTGGATGCGTTAATATTACACAACACAGCTTGAAACAGCTTCCACCATTCCATAATGGTGAAAAGAAAGCGTGCAGACGCACCTCGTTCATTACCTCTGAGAAAAGACAGTCTCCTCCAGAACTGACTCTGCAGGTCTTCGAGTGCAATGGGAGGAATTAGATAAGTATTCTATTACTATTTAAGTAAATTCATAAAAGGCTAATGAATGTCTTGATATCGATAATGGATAGTTATTTTCCTGGGAGTCCAAATTGAACATTAGACCTTAATAGTTCACTTTTGTCTTTCAAGAAACACTTCAGAAAGTGACACAACAAAATGATGTCACTGTCTACATTTCAGTTTGCTTTTCTCACTTATTAACGGGGACTCCACTGATTTTACACTTAAAGGAAAAAATAAAACCCCTGAGGATGTTGTGATGTCATCAAGAGAGCGCAACTTTAAAACAAAAAGCACCGGGGGTGTAGAGTTTTAAAGTCGCATTACCGGAAATGTAGGAACCCGTTTTCTGTTTTTTAGAGCTTGACCCATACCAGGAACTAAACGTCAGGATGTTTGGGTATTTTGACTATTCATCTTTTCAATCTGACGCGTATGAATCCCACAACTTAATAGAACTATAATACAAAATCGCTAGAGTTCCACTTTAAAAGTTTTTGTTAAATGGCCCCATTTACTGCTGTTGATTTCACACAGTTGTGAATAATGTAGTCTGTTATACTATTTACATTACTCTTTTTTTGGTCCGTCACACTTATTTCAATAAGACTTAATAGTATAATAGCAACACATCTCATTATAACTCAATGGAGTTCAACAACACCACACATTAAAACCTCCAAAATGACTATAAGCTTGAGTCAATAATTCACTGAAGGTTTTAACAAAAACTGAAAACAACAAGCATCAGACAAGTGTTGGGCTGCTTTAGCTTCAGCTAGGTGTGCCTAAAAACCTGACAATAGACTGTATACAAACAATAGAGCCAGTATTGAAGATCGTTTGAGGATTACAGTTATGAGGTTGTCACAGGACTGACTGACTGATTGAATAGCCGTTGGCGTGCTGGTACCTGCCCGTCCACAGGATCCATAACCTGAGCTAATGGCCATCTATCTAGATTATCTAAGTGAATAACTCGTGTCAAACACATCTGATCTATCCCTTTCATGAAACAGTGGTGTAAAAATACAGCGTTAGTACTTACTACCAGAGAGGCCCTGCAGCTCTGGAGGCTCCTCTGCAGCTGTGGCCATTCAGACCGAAACCTGATCTCAAACTCGGATGTGTTGAAAGTCAAATCCTGGTTAGACGTTATCAGTTTTCTCTGCGTGAGCACTTCTAGTAGTTGGGGATCTGTGTAGACAAAAGTAGCTCGTTAACAGCAAACACTTCTGATGACTCCATGCCACAAATATTGACAACCGCCACGTTGACTGGCTCTGTTGCTGGACTAGAGGATTTGAAAATACAGTTTGTTACGTTAACAAGACGGAGACAGAGACTAACGGTAGTTTTTAACGACAACGTTTTGCTAACCGTCTGTGAATAATGTAACTGTGGGGGGATGTAATGAATGGTAAGACCAGTGCATGTTGTAACACGCTAGCACGTTAACCTACACTGGTGTCTGGATTGCGAAATTTAAATAAGCTAGCTAACTGCTAACTCTGATTCAACTTTTCTAACTTTAGCAAAGCTGGTCACACTGATAACTAAATAACAACATTACAAACAAAGCGCCAACTCACTGGAAAACCTCGTGGAGTAGTTTTCGCCGTTTCCAAAGAAAGAAAAACTCAACTTTAAAGGCACTGTTTTTCGTAAAAACGAAATAAACAAGGAAGCAATGCGGAAGCAGCAGTTTTGTATTATGCACCACCAGCCAGGGCAAGAACAAAACTTCCGGTTCTTTCAGAATAAAACACAAATGTCACAGGAAAACCAAAAAAGAAAACAAAGGTGTTTTATTGTGTGCACCACGTCATCAAACAACTATGAATGGATACAGGTAGCAGGTGTGTCAATGTCAGGTGATGCACCAGGAAGGACATGTTTTGTTTTTTTACCAGAGAGAGACTGCAGGACAAATGTTTGCTTTTGATCACTACAATAGAATCTACCTAAACTGCAAATCACCACTGGACATTGGATTTCTTGCCTGAGTTACAATCCTACAATCCAACTAAAATGGTGCATAAGTGGCCTTTTGATGTAAGTTTTGTTTTTGATTATTTCTCTGACAAATAAACACTACATAAAGTAAAATAACCTCCCTTGAAAAAAATGTGTTGGATTCTCTGGACCTAATGTTGATGCGCATTGTTAGATCTTTCGCCAAGATGCCAAACAAAGGAACGACAATCCACGCCATAGCAGGAGCACACAACAAGATGGAATGCGGTTTAGAAACCTAGTAACTCTGTTGGTGTGAACTGCCACGTAATGAGTGTTAGCTTTTGATCCTGCTGTGAGGAATAAGTTTCGGACTGAATGATAAATTGTCTCTTTTCATTCATGCATTTGTTTTCCGGTTGTGGTGATGATGAATTGAAAGAAGTGAACTGTGCTTGTGATTGTTAACAGAAGCATTGTATGGTTATGCCACAGTGTGGGTCGCTTGTGTTAAAGGAGGAGCGCACTAAATGTCACTAATGATAAGAAAGAGGGCAACATGTCTATGCTGTCTGAAAAAAGAGACCTCAAACTCACTTCAAAGTGGCCGGCTCACCACATAGAAAGTGCCAAGCAGTAAGAAAGTCAAAATGCAAGCAAGCAAGCACACATATGAAAAGGCTTCAGGTGCTTATGGAAACCCATGAAAATGTCACACACCTGCAATGTGAATTGTCCAATTTCATTAGGTGCTATGATGAAGTAAAAGATGAGCACAGATCTTTTTTTAAGCTTACCCATACTCCAGGATGAAGTCGAAAAACAAAATCATTGGTTCGAGGACATAAGGAAACTCTAATGGGATTTTGCAGAAAATATGAAAAAATGGCTCGTTGATGCTGGTCAACCATATGCACAACCAAATATGAAATGTGTTGAACATGTACATGTGATAGACTCGGAGGAAGTTGGACCCGAGGACAGTGTTTCCAATGTCTCACCCTCTAAATCAAGCCTTACAAAAACTTCATCTCAATTATCCCGTGTCTCTACAGCATCCTCTGCAGCATCATGGCTGAAGCTGAAAGAGCAGCTGGTGTGTTGCAGCACTGGAGAAACAACATTTAATAGAGGCACAAGAGGAACAACTGAGAAAGGAAAAATAAAGACTTGCATTGGAAACAGAGATGGCGGCTTCTAATGCTAAAATTCCCATATTGGAGGCCAGTGCATCAAGGAATGGCTCTATAGTGTCAGATGGAATGCACTCTTATTTTGAAAAGGCTAATACTCAAAACACCAGTAATCTCAATCCTACTGTGCCTGCTTACATTCCTAAAAGTTAGCTAACTGACTTCTTACACACAGGAACAAGTTTCTAAAATATCAGTCAGAACCAATGCCCATACTCAAGCTACAGATCAAGTGCAAGAAACTCAACTGAGGTCCAGCATCCATACCCATTCATGTACAGAGAGACTCAGCGGGGCATATGCACTCTCAAACGCCAATGCTCATTGATAACTGTCAGGGACATTGTTAATATCATGCAAGGACAAAATGACATTACTGCTTTATTGGTCAAACAAAATCTCTCATCTTCTCTCCCACCAAGAGACATTCCAGTATTTAATGGAGATCCTCTTCAGTACCTCATCAGAGCTTTTGAAAATGGAGTAGAGGAAAAGACAACTTTGGCAACTGCCTGCACTTTCTTGAACAATACAACAGAGGTCAGCAAGGAGACATAGTGCGCAGCTGCCAACATCTTCCTCCAGGATACAAGAAAGCTCTTCTCCGAGAACATTTTGGAAATTAACAAAAAAATGTCTTCTGCTTGTATGGACAAAGTCTTCAGCTGGACACTTGTATGGACACATTAAAGGTGATGATATTCAAGCATTACAGGCTTTTGCTCTTTTTCTCCGGGGATGCTGTCATGCATCAGAACAAATTAAGGACATGAAGGAATTGGACATGCCATCCAACATGAGAAACGTTGTGCTGAAGTTGCCCTATAAGCATAATTGCATAATTGCAGAACGGATTTCTCTTTTAATTGGCTGCTCAGTTAGTTGTAATATAAAAAACATGCTACCTTGATGAAACCATTTAGCCTCAGAGGGGCTAAATAACAACGATATACGTACTGTCTCAAAATTAGAAAAAGATCATTGTTAATCAGAGCACTCACATTAGAACTTAGCATTATCAGAGACTATTTTGAAGCAGCGCTGTCCATGGTTCTGAAAAAACAGCTAAGTGAAAGTCCATTGGGCTGTACTAAAGGTCGTTGTTACACAAGAAGCTTCTATTAAGGTTTTTTTGTCCGTTGTTACTTGTGACATCATAACCCTAAAAGAATATCATCAAATAAAATCCTATATCTGTGGAGGGATTAATTTGATCAAATGAGTCAGTTCTTATTTAGTAATACAAACTTTCTCTGCTGAATATAACTCGTCAATGCGTGCCTCCCTTCTGTGTGCAGCAAGTAAGAGAGAAAATGTAGCAGATATTATCAGTGAAAGCTTAAGGTTTGCTGTAATTTAATGTCTATGAGTAATCACCAAGGTTGTGTTGTCTGTTATCAAACAGCTGACAGTTCGCGGGATGTTACTTTCCTAACTTTACCCGACAATACAAAGCATCTTCTAAAGATTTTCTAAAAATATCTAATTGTGACTTTAACTTCACATTGCTATTCTGGTTGTGCAGTACACTCATTATCTCATTGATCTGTAAATGTCCCACACCCAATTATTAAATCCAATAGCAACCCCTAGTGACTTTTTGTTTTTATTACAAGACTTGAGGAACTAAACTTGTTTCAAAACTCAACATTGTTTTTCTTATTTGAAGCTGCCAACCTGCCGTTTCTCTAAAGTTATATCAAGTCCATTATCAGTAGCTTGTTCAGTAACAAAAAACATGAGAACTTTAATGTCTTTATTCATCCTTTATTTCCCAAACAAAGAATACTACAGTACATGTTAGAAGCTGTGAAATCAACTCAGGACACAATTTATTTGAGCTATGACTGTGAGTGAACATTTGCCAAAAAATGCATTGGATGTTATTAATCATCTACAACTCCTTAATAATTGGTTTGTAATATATATAATACTTAATTTACAAATGGGGAATCCATAATTTATAAAGTATGAAAACACAATCATAAAACACATTATAGACGAGCTTATTAATCAGGAATAAAACAAACTGTTATGAATAGCATACTAATGAGTGCTAATGTAGGAACAATGCTTTATAAATGATGAAGTAAGTGTTTACTCATACTTAACTAATGCTTCATAGTGTGTAGTTATTATAAAGTGTTACCAATGCATTTAAAAAACATGTTTCCCGTTGTGACAAAGTTGGTTAAAATACAGACATGTCAAAATAATAACTGACTTCAGCTGTTATCATCCTTACTCAGCATTAACACAACCAGCATGCCCTGTCCGCCTCTGTGACAAAGATCTACAGGACACATCACATTATCAGCTCAGCCTATCATGTATGGTTTCTAATGTAGGCATTAACCCAATCTCACTCCCCCAAGGTTATACAAAAATCATTATTTCATTCCAAGATACCTCGACCTAACTATTCTGTTCACTTTTGTTTTATATTGTATAGATTTAGTTCGTTTGACCAACTTCAGCAAGCGTTAAAGGTGAATCCTGGCTCCACGGGGACGGGGGGTGCAATGTAGCCTGGTGTTGGGTCATAGTTTGGGTTTGGCAGCTCGCTGTTAAAGCACGCCCACTGAGCGTCTCCTCTGTCCCCACAGCACACATATGCGCCAGTCATGGTGGAGAACTCTTCCGTACAGAACTGGGACAGGGTTTGTTTCCACTGTAAGAAAAACATACTGAAGTTCACAAAGTTGTATTCCATCTCCCTGTGAAAAGCAAATTTTATCTTCACAAGTCCAAACCACTTTTAGTTTCTAAAGTTAAATCCATTCCTTTGTATTTGGGTGCAGGATACTGGACACAGGTATTCCTTTAAGATGTGTATTGTCTTTTAATCCGCCTATCTGATGCTGGTCCTGCTGAACTGGGGCACTGAGGTCCCTTTGTCACCATTCATCTTGTAAAAGGCAATAAATTGAACCTGTTTTTTAAATTATGACTTGAATTAATCTTGCGATTGACATTGTTATATATTTACTTAATTAAATTATATTTGTGTCAAAATACTTGGTATATTTCCTAAACAATTTTTTAAATGTATCTCATTATTTGTCCCACACACAAACACAGGCAGAGACTCACAGCTTGTTGGGTGCAGCAGAGGATCTGGTCGTTCTGTTGTGCTATCTGGTCGCTGCAGCACAAACTGTACCACGACTCCAGACGATTGATGGCGTTTCCACGGCGGCGGAAGTGACTGACCCTGGATCTCGGGAAGAAGCCAGGTAGGTATCTGGGACGGCCTTGGCCTTGATGGCAGATGGCAGCGAGGTTCTGAGTAGTGGGATAGGCAGGTGGGAAAGGCACGTCAGGCTCATTGAAAGAGCTTCTATTGGTCTCTGTAGGCAAAGAACAGGAAGCAACACAGAAGTTAACAGCATTGTGATTAGAATAGTACATTAAGTATAAATATTTAAATAATCTTGAAGAAATTACCTCCCACATCTGCACCATGAAGAGTCAGCAGTGCAATCATCCAAAATCCTGTGAGGCCTCCAATCGAAATCATGGCTGTATGGTTGTCTAGCCGGAGCTTATGTTGCTCAAAGATATTGTGACTGGATCTGCAACCAGCTTATATGGGGCAAAGGGAGTGAGTCTGTGGGCGTGCAATGCTTGGAAGTGGGGGTGTAAGGGTTGAGGGGTTGTGTGTGTGTTGGGAGCTGTCAAGATAAAAAACGAAATGAGTTTGAACTTCAGTGATATCTGCTGATGCATGCAACAACTATTTGGTCTCAAAAGTCTGCAATCATATCGGAAATAAGTATTCCATGATGATATGGGTTTACCATTTTGACTTGTCTTCAGAGGGGAAGCACAGGTGTATCTAAAAACATTAACTCTGCCTTACACCAAATGCAAACATGTTATATTTATTTTAATGGAAGCAGTGATACAGTTTCTAAAAACATTAATGCTGCCTTACACCAAATGCAAACACATGTTATATTTATTTTAAAGAAAGTAGCCAGAACATGTTAAACACATATCGAGTCCAACGAAACATAATGAAACCGAATATAAATAAGTGAGTTAATGAATAAGTATATAACAAAAAAAATGAATCCAACTTGTCTTTCAGAACAAAGCTAAATGTTTTGTATAGAGTATCAGGCAAGTAATTAAGCCAGTACTGTACTAACGGGAGTTTCTGGTGTTTTCCAATGCTGGAGTAGAACTTTCTTCGCAGTTAAAAGGCCATAGGCAATACATCTGAGACTTCCTTAATGTGTTCAGTGCCTCTGTTGTACCAAGGATGATCAGCTTGGAGTCTGGATACAATGTCAGATCAACCACTTTGGTAAAGATGCTGATAATGCTTTGGACAGCAGGCCAAGCTCTAACAATGTGCCCTCTGCAGAATTACACTCACCACACTGTAATGATACCTCAAGAAAGAGGCTGTGTGTGGAGTTACTTTTTGTAAACTGTGTTGTTGAAATAGGTTGATGACTGTGGTGGCCACAGCCCCACAATGAAAGTTACCTGGCTGCTAAGTTCCCCTTCCTGGTCTGACAAAAGATGGGGCTGAGGGTGGAGCCTGGTTTTATGCAAGCGGCCTGAGCCAAGGACCATACCAAGAGCTCTGACAGCATGGGGGGATCTGGGAGGTTTTGTGTTACCTTGTGGTTCTTGTCTTTGTTGTCCTCACCTGTATGCTTTCGTTGGTTTGGTCAGCCAGTATATAGTTTCCCTCAGTTTGATTCGGGGATGTTTTTTGTTAATGGAGTTAATGTCTTGTTTTGTTAATTCATTTCTTTGTAAATGATTGTTATTGAATCATTTTTGGGAAAATAAACCCACTTTTTGAATTTAAAGCCTGTTTCCTTGTGCCTTGGTCCACGACAATGACATATAAATCTACTGGATGAATACCATTGAATTCAAATTGTAAAAAGGCCCCATCAAAAGCCTTTATCAGAGCATCATCAAGTTTGAGAAATGCTGTGCTAAACCACAACTCAGGATTGAAAAGCTCAAATGTTTTTATCTAGGCTCCTAAAAATAAATCTGCAGTCCATCTGAACCGTGAGACAGATGTCAAAATGTCTTCCCTGAAAAAGGACAATTAAAAAAGGGAAATTCCCACTTTTTTAAAATGAAAATGATCTAAAGAGTAGAAAAAAAAAATCTTGAGCATTTGCCAATCTCAGTGATGTTTTGCTTACTGGATAAAGTGGGAAAACAACATTGAAAAGACTGGTACGCTTATCAAAACAATTCTGATGTCTTTCTCAGAAGTCAACACTGGACGGTGAACTCCCACAACCCGTTTTAAAAAACAGGATGAGTGTGCTTTCTGTTATCTGCTACAGATATAAACATGAGAACATCCCATCTCATGTTGTTATCTACAACCAGTGTTTTGACTCCCTTCGTGTGAGAGGAATGAAGGACGTACTCAGTGGAAAATCATTGAACCACTTTAATCGTTTTTCACTTCCTAGAATTCAAGCAGTTCTCACATGATCATTCCTGCTGTCTGCATTGTGTTGATGAAGAAGTGTAATTGAGTAATTGGTTTGTTTTGTATTTCAGATGTATGTTGGGGTGTGACTTCAGATATGATACATTTATCACCCTTAACTTGTGCTCTGTTATCACCAATGCAATCTGCAACTGTCAAATAGTGACTTATTGGATTTAAATCCTCTCTCATCTACTACATGTAAGTGTTGCTCCAGTGTAACTCAAACTTTATTTTGTTGTTTGTTTTGTTATATGGTATCCAAGGTGCTTTGCTAGCAGATTTATCACAGTATGATTGATTATCTTGTCCAGTCTTGTATTAATTAGTGTTATTATGCAGATAAAATAGAGAACTTACCAACTTTTCTGTCAAACTCAAACGCAATTTCACAGTCAGCATTTCAGCAAATGCTGTGCCATCAGAAATCCTGAAAGCTTTTTTAAGAGTTGTGTGTGTGATGCTTGCTTTTACAATGACAAGAAAGGCTCCTGATGTAGCCATCACCGCAGTTACACTATAGAAATGTCAAAGCAAAGGAGTCAATGTGTCCCAGCGGAGTGCAGAATACGTCTGTCCAGTATCTGAAATGAACAAATGTGTATGCACAAAGGCAAACATTAAAGAAAGAGACAGAGTTTTCCGTCCCCAGACTGTCAGCAAAACGAATGTCTCTGTAAGCTTCATATACAGTGACGTTTCCCTTACTTGCCACATTTGACCTTTTCAGCTGTTCTGAAAATATCACTGCTACACAGGTGCATAATGAGACACACTCGTGGGCCATTTGAGACGCGTGCACTGATCAAGAATGTCTTAACATATCAACCAGGGGGAAATGGAACCTTTGCTCAATTGCTGGTGATCCACATGACAGAATCTCCAGCTAGCATATCTATGACTTCCTAGGCACCTGCACCTACACTGCAGCTAAATCGTGTCATCCGGAGGGTTCACGGCTCAGAGCCTGAAGGCCCAGGTATAAACTACACGGTCCGCCACTGCATTTATTAGTAGTGTAACTAGTAGAATGAGTTATTGTTTTACTAAGAAACCCAATGTCTTTGGGTTTACCTTTTTTTTCTTTGCATTGTTTATTTTTTAAACCGTTTTTAAAAATTATTGACATTTGGCTCAGAGTTTACCAAATACTGTCAAATTATGTGGGATTTGAAATTGTCTTTTATGTTCAGTCTGAATCCTTGTGGTACTGGGCAATCCCAAAAGCTATGTGAATGATAGCTATCATTCATCACAGAGCTGTTGAGAAAGCTATATAAAAAATGTTGACACAATTTGAATTTTATTTCAATGGGGTCTTTAAAAAAAAGTAATTTTCAAATCAAAATGTCCTTTCCATGAATGACTGCAATGCCTTAATAGTAACCACCACATACATATTTAAATATTTTCTAAAATGTGTATTGCCACATTTGGTTCAGCATGTGGTATATCATACTGTATATTATTTCGTGACCAAGACTAGAATACATCAAAAAAAAATCAGAAGAATTTATATTTTTTGGTGTCATAATGGGCATTTTTGTATTAATTTGTGTTGTTTCCAAACAGATGTACTTCAGGTAAAAATGGGGATGCTACAGCACCGTGATGGTTCGATGATGGGTCAACAGATTGGAATCAGTTACACATAAGAGACAGACATGAAACTAATTGTTTATTGAGTACACAGTAAAAATGCATCATCATTTTGTTTGAGTGGTTGATATATTGATATATATTCCCAAGCAAAATCTTTGTTTTCATTCATTTTTTTATTATTACAGATGTTTAACAGGACAAACATATTTCTCAGACTTTTGAAAATTGAAAAGAAGCAAGGAATGGGATTTACATGGATATGGGTTTCTCTATATCAATACAAATAATTTCATGAATCAATGATGCTGTCAGTTGGGTTAGTGCTGAAGGATGTTGATCAATGCAGTTGATGGAAAGCTGGCAGGACTGAAATTTACAAACCACTGAAAAAGAAAAAGAGAAATATTTTTTCAGGAAAGCTCCAATAGTGCCATGTATGTGCAGTAAGATTTTTTTTGTAAGATTTTGTTATAGAAAAATACAATTCCTGGGGAAATTGGTGCACTCTATGGGTTAATGGTATTGAGGTCTTCTTAGTATCAGTCATTATTTGGAGGCATCATTTATGTTGCTTACCATTCGGGGAAATCTGGAGCTATCCACTGCCTAAAGTTCAGTGACGCAGAGGCAGCATTCGGCCTGAGTAGTTGAGCAGGCCTGATGGTTCCACATACCCCACATACCACGTCAGCGACTTTGTCGCTGACAGTAATAGTGAGTTCATCAGCTGAACTAAAGGACACCTGAAGGCTGGAAGTGTTAATTGTCAATGTATTGTCAGAGACCACCACTTTCACATTGTTCTGGGAGAAAGTGGGTTGAGTCAACGCTCTTCCATTTATCTGTGAACACAGATTGAACACTTTATAGTAACATTCATTTTTTTAAAGTAAGATTAATGTCACATCTTTATCCAGACACTTACCCAGACGTCATGTTTCCTGTTGACTGTGATCACCCCTTCATTGAAGAACACATACACAGCTGTAAGTGTGTTGACACCAGGAGTGCACATCTCCAACTTCGCCACCACCCTGAACCAGACTGACGTTGGAGAGACGTCACAGCTCTGGATAATCTCATAGGCTCCTGGCACTGTAATGATACTATCCACTCCATTAAATGCAGTGAAGGTCCCATTGGCCTCCAAAAGGCAATGCTGAACATGGCAGCCCATCACGCCTTTCTCGACCATGCATCTCTCGTTGGGGTCACATGACATGTTTTGGGACACAACTACACCAGAGGCCTGGCAGGTGTGAATCCTGTGACAGTCGTCAGTTATAATGGACTCTCCAATCTGCAGCAAAACATATGGTTTGGTTAATGGTTAAAGTGGCCTACATACTTTATTAGTTCATAGTGTAATGCAGTTGGGAGTACGTGTTAGTGTACATATCATCAACATTTCAAATGGTGGAGATGAACTCTTGTGCCCCAAAAATGCCCCTGCAAGAAGGCAACAAGAATAGAGCTTGATTTATGCTTGACGCATCTGCGAGGGTCATGGGCCAATGTGACGTCACACCGTCAGACACGCCCCTGTGCGTGGTCTCCTTTCCATGCACAGCTGACATTTTCTAACAAATCTAACAATCTAACAATTCTCACATCCGTGCTACCGTCCATGCATTTATAAATGTAATGTCAAATGTGTTGATGTGGAGCACTCCATAAGCCTCGTCACAAACTTTAGTTAGAAGCCAAGATGCATTCATCAACAGACTGAATAATATCCAGGTTTACTTCATCAGATCGGGTCTACCTATGATGAATTAATAATACATTATCTTCTCACCATGTAAGTTTGGCCATTGTAATAGCAGCCGCACTGGTTAGTGGGCACACAGCCAGTTCCATTGTAGAGGTAGTCTTTATCACAGGCACAGCCCTCAGCACAAGTCGTTGTGCATGTGATGATGTCATGGAGACCAGGACAGGGAGAGGTACACGGTAGTGCACAGGTGTCATAATGGCTGCCAGCACTGCATGTAAAAGCTGTAATCAAATAATAGTAGTTTTTTTTATACAGTAAATGTAAAAGTGTTGAACAGATGTAGAGTTAGAGATGGATATTACAGTGTACAATGAATAATACAAATGTGCAGACTCACGGCAAAAAGAAGCACTTCTCCAGATCCCAATCTTTATGCCAAAGCATTGGCAGTCTAACATGTATGCAGCGATACTTTGACACAGCACGCTTTCATCATCGTTGGACATGCAAACATCATAGACACAATCTCTTAAGTAGGAGGTGGGATCAATTACATCATGGCAAGCAGCAAATGGACCTTTGATATCGGTGATTATTGAGCATTTTGCCTTTATCGCAGCTTCTATAGAATCGTCACATTTGGGGCACTGGTCGCCACTGCAGCCATCTTCACAGACCGCTCCAGGCACGGCCACTTTCCACGCTGCTCCAAAGGTCTGGAAGTCATTGGTCAAATTTCCATTCGGCAGCTGGAACTCATCTGCTTTGTCATCATTAAAATTGCCGCACAGACCACAGGTTCTGCCGTAGTAGTTTCCAGGCACAGTGATAGTGACGTGGTAGACCAGATCATACGTGACCCTCAGTCCAAAGTCGGTAATAATGACCTCATTTGCCCCCTCCTGATAAACCCTCACTGCACCATTGAAGAGGTTTAGAGGAATGCGATGTAGGACTCCATTTACCTGCAGAAATAATAATAATTTTTTTGGGTACTCATCATTTATTCTCATTTTACATACATTTGTCATTCAATTATATTCAATTGACTATTTAAACATTTGTGCCTATTTTGACTGTTTATGCTGTTATTGTTGTCCTCATTTGCATAGTTCCCTAACTCAGTTCAAGCCCTTAAACCAGCAATAACTGATTTGTTTGCATTGGCATATGGCAAACTTTCATTGCAAATATAAAGCTCTGTTTTTGGTCTCTACCAACTATATCTATAGCTACTAAATGTTAAACTGTGTTCATCTGGCTCAACGCTAACTTTGTCTGTTGTTTAGTCTTGAGCAGGTAGTGTACAGAGAGTTTAATGGAGCTGTTTTGCTGAAAACAGCTGCCTGCTGTGGATGAAACGACACTATTAGAGCATTGATAGTGAACCTAGATGGTTAAGTTGTGGGCCGGACAACTAAAAAATAAGATGGAAATCCGAAAGGATCTGCAGATTCAGTTGATAATTCTCAGTAGGTTCATCCCTAGAATTACTTACTTTCACATTGTAACTCTGTTTTCACATTGACATTTAAATCATTGTTAGTGTAAAGTACGGTTATCGCATCTTTAAATAATATCAGTCACTTACCCAAACCATATTAATTTGATTATTGCGAAGCATCAAGAGGGTTCCGTAAACTTCTACCGCTACAAGCTTTGTCACTGACACATTGGGATTGTCAGACAAAGCATACCACTTGTCATTCTCCACCACCACAGAGAACTCGGGGAGCTGCGTGTCGCTCATGTGGCAGCTTTTAGCGGCGATGTAGGTGCAGGTGCCTTGGAAGTCATAGGTGATGTTGTCAAAGGTGTTGTAATGTGGATCTCCAGAGATGGAGCAAAGTCCGCTTCTCAAAGGCTGACATGATCGCACGTTATTCTTCATCTCACACTTCTCATTTGTGCCACAAGAGGACTGCTTACACTGCACCTAATATGAAAGACATACCTGCTTGATCATTGTTGAAAATGTTATGCATTAAAATGCATTCCCATTGTTCCAAACAGATCTTGGAAAAATAAACCCAAATAACTAATACAAACTCTCCGTTCATGTCATCCTTACTGTGCCATTACAGGTGCATTTCTTCTGGCAAAGGACATCAGGGTAGAAGACCTGTCCGTGCTGGTAGTATTTCCCCTCAAATGTGCAGCCACATTGGTCGGCAGGCAAACATTTACCTCCACTCAGCAGGTAACCCTCATCACAGACGCATCCTTCCATGCACTGAGCTCCACAGTTTGGGTCTTTCTGACATGACCGGAGACAGCCGCTGCCACAGAGCTCGTACTGGCTATTCGATGGACACTTAGCGTCTAGGAAGAAGGCAGGGTCAGAATTATTTTAGCAGTATAATGGAGGAACACTCTCGTCATAGATTTTAACCATTTATTGCAACAAATGGAAATACAGTTAAACTTGGCGATGATGGCTCCGCTCTTTGAATGCTCCCCGGATTAGCCAGCAGCTACCAAGCCAAAACGGGGAGCACCGAGCAACAACACCCAAGGGTTTACAGGAATGAGCCAGAAGTACATTTTATAAATACATTTCAACCATTTGCCTTGAAAGATGAACTCTGAACTAAAAAGGGTGGAGGCTGTGGTGGAGGAGGCAAAGCTTTGCCAGCAGTACGGTCTGTAACAGCGTAGGTGTAAAATTAATCAGTGAGGAGGGAGTCATATTTAAAGAAACCTCCTTGAAGTGAGAGTGGGCTGTGATTGCTGCATGGCCGATTGGAAGCTATGATTCAATTGGCTGGCTGTCAGCTGGTTACAGCTGGGGGCGTATGACTTCCGTAGATAAATAGTAGATGTCCTTACCACAGAACTGAGCTGACCTCCAGGAGTACACTGTGGCACCTTTCAGCTGGCAGGCGGCTGTGTAGGCGGTGAAAGTCTTGCACTGCATGTTGCTGCCGCCCTGGTAAAGACAGACATCATACAAGCAGTCGTTGAGGAAACCTGCGGGGTCGACCTTGGCGTGGCAGTCACGGAACGGGCCTGCGGGGTCGCTGATGAGGCCACAGTAACTGTTAGTGCTGTAGGTTTCTTTCTGAGTGGCGTTACAGCCGGGACATGGGCCTCTGCAGCCGTCTACGCAGCCGGGGATTGTGGCGACTTTCCAGCTTTGACCGAGCTCCTCAGAGGTGGTGGCTTGTTTCCCATCTCTCATCTGCATGTCGTCTTTGGGGTTGAGGTTGTAATTGCCACAAAGACCTTGCATCTTGCCCATGTACGTACTGGGAACGGTGACTATTGCTACACTGTTCCAGTCGTAGTACACGCTCACTCCGGAGTCCATCTCGATAACAGCAAACCAGCCGCTCGGGTAAAGATGGAGTTTACTGCTGTTCAGCGTCAAAGGGAGGTAGGAGAGCTCGCCATTTACCTTAAAAAGATAATAGAAAATGGAAAAAAAATTGATAAAGTAATTTGTAAACTCAATAATAATAAAACATAGAATTAGAAAATAACTACATGTATGTAGAGCCACAACAATTAGTCAATTATTCTCTTAGTTTATTTACAAAAATGAATTGGGACCAATTTTGATACTAAAACCGTATAACTCAATATATCTTTGTGTTTTGGACAGCTGATTGAACAAAACAAGGCATTCAATGACGTCATATTTAGCTTTAGGAAGTTTCGATGGGCATATTTAATTGTTTCCTGGTGTTTTATATACTGAACAATTAATCGATTAATTGATTATTAAAACAACAACAATCATTAGTTGCAGCCCTACAAGTATGATGGTTTATACGTTACCATAACAGTGCCAGGGTGCTCTTTGCTGATGACGATGGTGTCTTCATCCACTTTGACCTCCACCAGCTGGACAACGGACCCAATCTTCTTATCTTGACCATTATTCTGCAACACGACGCTAAAATTTTCCAGGCTGGTTTGATTGGAGGAGACGGCAGCCATCTGATACACACAAGTGCCCTGGAAGTTGTAGCGATCCCCATCAAATGTCACAAAATGTGGGTCACCAGATACCATACACGTTGCGTAGTTGACAGGATAGCAACCTCTGATCCCTTCCACTACTTGGCACTGCTGCCCTGCGGGACAGCTAATCTGATTGAAAGACAAACTTCCACCAGCGGAGCATGTGTAGCGTTTGGTGCAGCTCTCACCGCCCCAGAAGGAGGCTCCGGCTTCCACATAGTGACCCTCATACATGCAGCCGCACTGAGCCTGGGGGACACACTTGGTGGCGCTGAGCATGAAGCCGTCATTACAGACACATGTCTCCACACAGGTGGCATTGCATGTTGTAGGAGTGTTTGGGTTTGCACATGTGGCAGGACAGCCACTCCCACAGAACTCATAGCGGCTGTTTTCTGGGCACTTGGGTGTAGCTGTGTGGACAAAGAAGAGACAGATCCAGTTATTCACATGTATTCAGTGATGAAGGAAATATTCACATCCTTTACTTAAATAAAAGTACTAATGTAAAAATACTCTGGTGCTGCATTGACAATATTACTTAAGTAAATGTATGTACACTATGTAAAATCAGGAAAATGTACTTAAAGTATGAAAGTAAAAGTACTATATGAGGAAACATAACCCCTGTGAGCACACTATTATTTATTATTAGACCTTTATTATTATTATTACTCATGCATTAATATAAAACAGTTATTCACTGTTGTTGTTGTTGAGGTAGAGGTAAGCATTTTATATTGGACTGCAGCTAATGATTTTTTTCATGATGGATTAATCTGACGAACATTTTCTCCATTAATCGATCAAAAACAGCGAGAAATGCCGTCTCAATTATCCAGAGCCCAAAGGGACACACCCACCAACAGTCCAAAAAAATTAAAACGATTAAACAGAAAAGCAACAAATCTTCCCATTTGAGAAGCCACAATCATAAAGTGTTTTTGCATATTTGCATTAAAAATTATTTAGTTGTTGACAATTTTCTGTCATTCAACTAATTGATTAATTAACTAGTTATTTCAGCTGTGTATATACTGTTCGGTTGTTTAATTTATAACAAAGTGTCATATTTTCTAAATTTATTGCAAAAATCTTATTTTGTTAAGTAACTAGTACTATATTAATGTATGTTATTACAAAATGTAGTGAAGTAGGAGAAGAAAGTGGCATGAAAAGAAAAAAACTCAACACTTTGGATTACTCACGGCATTCAGTCGGAGTCCTCCAGTTGGGACCTTTGGCCCCAGACCTCTGACAGATTTCAGCGAAGCCTTGAAGAGTGTTGCAGAGATACGTGTTCACAGTTTCACCTCTGCAGAGGTCAAGCATGCAGTTACTTTTAAAGATGCTGGAGTCGATGTCAGGTTGACAACCCAGAAGTTCTACAAAATTTAGTATGAGGGCGCTACAGAAGATTTGCTTCTGTAATTTTTGAACTTCATCGAGAGGACAGATTTCACACACGTCACATGCATCGTGGCAACCGGCATCGTCTGCGGCACCGGGAACCCTCCAGCTATTTCCCAGCGCTGCCACGCTGCTGGCCACTGAACCACTGGGAGTGGTGAGATCATCTTCCTCTTTGTTGTTGAAGTTGCCACACAGGCCGCACACACTACCGGCAAAACTGCCGGGCACTGTGACGGCGAGGTACTCGTTCCAGTCGTACTGTAGGTTCAGTCCAAAGTCTGTCTCCATGATGACATACAGACCTCTCTGGAAAAGCTTCACCTGGCCATTGTTCAAGTTGATCGGGAGATTCCATTTTTGATAGTTCACCTGAAAATAGATCCAGTTCCACATTTAATACAACAATATGTTTGATAGAGACACCACATTGCACCTGCCAAAGATATTTTCATTGCTTTGGTTCTTTTTTGTTTGTTTGTTAGATAGTAGAATATCGCCAAAACTATACATTTTAAAAGTTAGTCCAGTCAAGGAAGTGAGTAGACAAAAAAAATGTACGTCTCCTCAACACACAACCATAATTACATTTTGAACAGAAGCCAAAAAGAAGGCCTCTAAATTTGTGTCAAATATTTAGATTTTTCATATTTTACTTTTTTCAGTTACCTATTATATTATATTATGTAAATGTCAGTATTAAAGCTTTCTCTACAGTTCTTTACTGATTTTGTTGTCCTTATAGTAGTCATACTAGGTTTAAAAAAATAATATTTTTTTAATCAGAAGTTCACAAATAAAATCTGTGTTTTTAACAATAGTGGAATGTAAACTTCTAAAAACTCCAAACTACCACAAAAATAACTACAACATGGCCTCTACTGCACTTAAATGAATACAAATAGAAAGCCAATGCATCCCATATAACAAAAAAATCAAAGAATTTTCAACTATAACAACGAAGATTAGAATACTCAGCATTCAAACAATGCCAACACACAAAACATGAAACAGTGCAACACTACTGACTGACTCACCCGAACAATACCAAACTCAGAGCGAAGTATTTCGATGTTGATCCCGTGAACATTGATAGTGACCGTCTCCACTGTCGGGACCTGTACGTTGCCCTCGTTCGCGTTCTTGGTCTCCACCTCAAAGGCCGGGAGGGTGTCATCAACATGGCAGTTCTTGGCCAGGGTGTAGGTGCAGTTGCCCGTGAAGGTGTAGTGATAGTTATCAAAAGTGTAGTGGAGAGTGCCAATGACCCAGCAGGTGCCTGACTGTGGTGTTAAAGTAGTTGGTCCTCCTCTGCAAAACCCTGGAAAACATTATAAATGTCTTTAGTGTGTTTTTTCCTGACTGTTTTTTCCATTGGATTATAGTCAACAAAGAATAAGTTAGGTTCTGCAAAATGTACTTCAAACATTTAAGTACGACATTATTAAATGTATCACCATAACAAACAGTTGAGTCTCATTCAGTATGTGACAAAAGTTATATTTCAATTACTTAAAGCCTTCAAAGATCCTAGAATTAATGTCCACAGTCGAGTCATCAATGTATTGTTTTATGGTTCACATTGACATAAAATCTTCTACTATTTATAGCTGACAATATGTATTGATTTATTCTGCAGTCCAAGCTGTTTCTTTAACTTTATTTGTGATCTAGTTCAACTCACATACAGACGTCTAACTGAAACACTTTTCATTTGTCATTTTCATTATTTATAAAATAATGCTTCATAACTTACCACTCAGGAGAAGAGCTGAAACGATTGCAGCAAACACACCCATGTTTGTCAGTGGAGGGGACCTAATACCTAAAAAGAAACCAATAAGTCAGGAAAATTGTACCTTTTTAACTTTTGGTCATCCTGCAAGTAAACACATCTCAATAGATAGATGCCAAAATGTTGCAATCCTCAATTTTGTCTCTTTGTCATGAACAGTAGAAATAAATTCATTGGAAAAAAAAGAAATAAATTACAAGAAAAAGGAAGAGAGAAATGCATCAATTTTGACTTTAGCATCTGAAAAGACAAATGCATACAAAAACCTTTTACAAAATAGCTAGAGAACAGAATTGTTATTTTGTTTAATACTTTAGTTATCTAAATCATTCTCACCTGTGCTGGTCAACAGGCATTCGGGGGTTCAGTTGCAGGATCTGAGGATCCTTAAATACTTTCTGACCTCCACCAATAGACCAAGCTTCTTTATGTGGCTTTTCCCAGAAGTGAGCAAATACAGCATCACGTGACACACGTCTTGAAAACCTTTGTTGACCAGGAGACAAGTTAATCGTATTTTACCAGGTCATAAAGGAGTTCACTGCAGTGAAAAAAACAAGAACTAGTGTATAAGCACAAGCAAATTATGGTCAAAGGGTAAAGCAAAACTACCTAAAACAGGATGAAAGACCGCTGTGATTATTATACAGATCAGTTTGAAATGACTCTTAGTCCCTTTGTTATATGTGACTGGTCTGCTGGCTTTGAGCCCATCCATTTGACTTCAAAGTGTTACTGTAAAACATTCAACAAGTATGATTTATTTGTTGACTTTGTGGCAGCTTTGTCACCACCTACAAGAATCATGGGTGGGTGTGAGTTGTTTAAATGCATAACTCTCAATACTATCATGACTTATTTCGCAAGGATCAAGTGGAGCTCTGTTCTGCTGTCCTGCAGGATAGTGGACATATTGGGACATGGTGGTGTTGTTTCTTAGTTGTACCAACGTTGTGTTTTGTGTGATGTTAAAAGATAAAGACTTTATCTGATTGTTCTATTTATTTTGCAGGAACACAATTCAAAAGGTAAAAGAGTCTTTGTTTGCACATATATATATCTGACAAACACACACATATACAGCGGGTAAAATAAGTATTGAACACGTCACCATTTTTCTCAGTAAATATATTTCTAAAGGTGCTATTGACATGAACTTTTCACCAGATGTCGGGAACAACCCAAATAATCTATACATACAAAGAAATCCAAACAAATAAGTTCAGAAATTAAGTTATGTGTAATAAAATGGAATGACACAGGGAAAAAGTATTGAACACGCTCACTGAAATTTATTTAATACTTCGTACAAAAGCCTTTGTTGGTAATGACGGTTTCAAGACGCCTCCTGTATGGAGAAACTAGGCGCATGCATTGCTCAGGTGTGATTTCAAATCTTGAAGGTTCCGTGGGCCTCTCTTCTATGAACTCTGATCTTTAGTTCTTTCCCTAGATTTTATGTTGGATTCAAGTCAGCTGATCATCGGTGGGCCATTCTAGCAGCTTCATTGTATTTCTCTGAAACCAGTTGAGAGTTTCCTTGGCTGTGTGTTTGGGTTCATTGTCTTGCTAAAATGTCCACCCTCGTTTCATCTTCATCATCGTGGTAGATGGCAGCAGATTTTTATCAAGAACATTTTTCCATTCATCCTTCCTTCAATTATATGAAGTTTGCCAGTGCCGTATGCTGAAAAACAGCCCCGCACATGATGTTCCCTCCAAACTTCACTGTTGGTATGGTGTTTTTGGGGTGATATGCAGTGCCATTTGACCTCCAAACATGGTGTGTATTATGATATCCAAAGAGTTAAATTTTGATCTCATCTGACCAGACTATATTCTCCCAGTATTTCACAGGCTTGTCTAGAGAGAGAGAGATACAGATCATGGCAATGCAATTAAATGCAAATTAAATCTGTAAATGCATAATATTATATAACAAATTAAAACATTTAAAAGGGAACAAAAGTTAATATAGACCAGATACTGAATGGTAAGATTCCTAGCTGCACGTATAACAGTATTTACTGTATTTAGATTGGAACAGCCTCATGTCAACATGGAAGATGTAACAGACAATAAACTTGGTAACTAACGAAACATTTATTGTATTTGCAGACCTCCTAAAAACCATAATGAAAAAATAACGTGAAATTTGACAGGAGAGGTCCAGAAGCCACAGGCTGATACAACGGACCTTCCCTTTACTTCAGGAGAAAAACAAACAATGACAATCAAAGGGGGAAGAAATTAAACTGCTTGCAAACTGTGTTGTCTAGTGTTTGAGCAAATAGCTCTTCTTTTAAATTCACTCGAGTGACGCCAGTCAGGCCGAACAGACCTGCGTTGACAAAGATAATGAAGTAGAGGGAAAGAGCTCCATGGAGTAGTTCCAGGGGTTAACTAGTGTAGCAGGATAACAACAGCAGTCCATAGATAACTAAAGCTATAATGAACTACTGGAAATTTACGGTGGATTTTCAACGGTATCTTACAGTATTTTATAATAACTGTAACATACAGTTAAATGTTCTTCCCCCGCATGTAAATTAACAGTCAATGCCGTCAATTAATCATAACAGCAGACTACTATATTTTATCAGCATAATACAGTAAGTGGTGGATACACGCTTCTCTATACGAGTTCAGTGAGTCACGATCATCAACATCGTACTGTCTATTGTAGATTAATGTGTCTGTAATGACGATAGAATATTTTTATTGTTCAAACTGCTCATTGCCTACAAGTCACTTTTGAGTGACAAGACGTGACTGACTGCTCCTGAACGTGACTTTGGACCTCACAGCTTCAGTTCATCCTTCTGAGCAGAGCCATGTGGAGATCAACCGAGGAGCCGAGGTCAACATAAATAAAGTTAATCACCAATTACAGTGTTAAGATGTAACGTTAGTAACCTAACTTGTGTTTACTTGTGCTATTATTGAACCGATCAAACTAATTTCATTGTTGAACGCTAGTCCATTGTGGTCCATTGTCTTAGCTTAATTTCTTCACCAGTCAATCAGCTCATCATATAGGGAAGTGGGAGACCCATCTTTATAAAGAGGCGTGGCCTATCGTGTAACCGGAGATTTCAGAAAATGAATCACAACCGGAAGAGATCTCAGAAGCTGTGTGCGCACTACTTACCCTGTTCCCCTTGTTGTAGTAAGAAACACACACACAGTTCATGTTTGCCTTTTGAAGACACTGAGTTCATTATTTTATTACTAAAACAGTTCCAGTTGAAACTGAATTTGATTTACCCACAACCCTCCAGTATTGTTACAGGTGTGATCAACTGCTCCAATCAGCCATCAGCTTCTTTCTTTAGAAAGAACCGGTTCTCTCCCCATCACAGTAAAAAAACACATTGCATATCACCTGATGATTTATGACACAACAGTGTGAGCTACTCGACCTGTTTGCAGTGTCAAAGTCAAACAGAGAACTGGTCTGTTGAGAAACAGGGCGGGGGCAAAAAGTGAGTAGAGACACTGGCTGTTAATCTAGGGACAGTTGGATTGTTTGCTGTGAAGAGACACACAATCTGTGTGTAAATAGATGAAAGCAAGATCTGAAGTGGACTACAGAAAAGAAGGTAAGATGGAAATATGACTCAGCATGTAGGAAGTTTAACTCATGTTTGTTATCACACTCTTATTGATTAGAAGCTGGACCAAACACTGTGAAACATGTCATCCCTGCTTCTGCAGGTATGTTTATCTCTCTCGTTGTTTTCAATCTTTCCACAGTACAAAAACCCAAACAGCTTCAATGAGGGCTCTGGGGCTTGTCGTCATTGTATCCATTTTGGTGTCCATGGCACTGGTGATGATTATTCTGAGTCAACAACAATTGTTGAACACAGTGTACAAGGAAACAGATAAGCTGCCAATGGAGTTCGAGAGACTCGGGAATGAACAATCACAATTAGGTACCGCTAAAGTCCTGTTGGAAAAGCTGCTGACTCAGGGGGAAAAAGTAGTGGAGGATCTGGAGGCTGAGGTGGCCAAAACCGGCCCAGACATGGAGAAGACGAAAACAGAAGTTGACGCCTGTGAAGCAAGAAAGGTGAAAAGTTTATTTTTTGCTTTAGCATCTCTCTTTCTGCTTCAAAAAAAAATAGTGGACTTGACTGTGTGGCTATTCACCGGCTGTGTGACGCTAGAAAAATGCTGCAGGACAGGGCGTAGTCTAGGAAAACAAATCCTCACGCTTAGCTTGCACACATTTGTTTGACACTCATCCTGTGTGTCAAGGACAATGACAGTAGCCAGCACAAAAATGTAAATGGCTCCATCTAGAGACAGTGTCAGGTTTGGTTTGCCGGCTCCTTGAAGAGGACCTGCTCCGTATGTAGGTATACGTAAACGTCTCATCTAAGGCAACGAAAACACCACAATACTTATTTTCAGGTGATTATACACTAAAGGATATATACTTATTCATATTATAGTCCATAGAGCTCCCTAAATTCTACACACTCTTCCTTTAAGTAAAATTTGAAGGTTGCTAATTCACTTTTATGCCACTTTATTTGTGATGTTTCAGATGACTATACGTTGTAAGCGGTTCCATTTACTCTCTAAATGTCTTCATTTAAAAAACAGAATTACAATTTTCCAATATTTCAAGAAAAATGAAGAAAAGTCTTTTCTGCCCCATTAAACATCCGACAACCCTTTGAAATCCATCGTGTGAACTTATTAAAGCAACTTCACCTCAGGCCCCGATAACAGTAAATGCATTGATGCATCAGTCAGTAGTAACTATGTAATATTTAATAACATATCAGTCATGTGGTACATTTTTCTGCAGAGCAAGTACTTTAAATAGTAAATTGCATTGATTATTATTTTACTTAAGCGGGATTTTTAATACAGGACTTCATGGTTAACATGGAATTGTTTTCACCTTGTGAGAGTGTTTGTTGTCATCATGTCAAAATGCAGTCAGGGAGACACACCCACTGTAGCGAGAGCGACGACAGAGGTGGCTTATATTTCCATATTCATATCTGTGGACAGATTGTGTCACTGCGATAGCAACCGTGCCAGATGCATTCAGAAAACTTTGCAGACGTGTGTAGTTCAGATCAGAATGAAAGTCAAATTCGAAGATGTCTGAGGTCCGAGCGAGGGCGCGGGAAGTAGGGGCCTCGGTCTGGAGGGAACACACCCTCCTGAGCCCACCAGTCTTAGAGGTTGGATGTAATTGTAGTGTATAAAGAATCACAAGTACATATTCAGTGTTTGTGGAACACAACTTCCATGTCACATCGACTGACATTTCTCCGACACTATTGTAGAAAACAGAAGCAGACGAGCTGGCCGCCAGGGAGAAGGAACTCACAGAGACTGAAGGTACGACACACAATGACCTCACAGATAATTCTCAGCTGCGAGTGCCATCATGTGGTGAAATACAAGAATTACTGTTTGATTCTAAATTGTTCCTTCTCTTCTCTTCTCTCTCTCTTTTTTTTTTGATACTAAGCACCTTTAAAAGCAGAGTCTGACGCCTGGAACCAAGAGATTACAAATCTGAAAGCACAAGTGATAGGGTACAGGCCAATATGTGATTATGTGAAGGATGAGGAGAAAGCTAAGTAAGTCACAAGTACCGATCAGACATTTGTGGAAAATGGAGCATTAATAGTTGAATGATATTAACACAGTATAATTCTGTCTTTTAGGACATCGTGTGGCATCAAAGCCTAACCTCTCGCCTGAAGAAGATGGAGTAAGATCTCAACTCTCAACAATTGGTAAACTCACTTTTGCCGTTAAAGTTTTATATTGAAAATGATTACCGGAAGTGTCGCTATGTTACGTTGTCTATCGTGACACTAGTGGTGAAGGTACATGTTGTGGCCACTAGAGGGCCTCACGATTATTAATAAACTGCATTCTGTTAAAAACTCAATGGAGGTAAAACTGAGAAAATCAGCGTATGGATTAACAAAGTTTGGTGTTTTTACATGTCATGACTACCTATTTTTTTTAAAGAGAGTTGTATTGTCATTTCCCCCTGATTACCGTCTTACAGTGCAAACTAGTACAACTGCCAGCTAGCAAGAAAGCTAGCGAATGAAACAAGCAATGATGACATCAAATGTTCCTGTACCAGTTTTTATTATCTATGTCATCGTCAAATTTCATTTTTGTAGATTTATATAAAATACGACCGTGTATTGACTTGCCATGCTGCTTCTGACTGAGAGCCACAGGTCAGAAGCTTCATTTAATGCTAATAAAACACATTTTAAAACAAAGCGGTTCCTGCGTCTCTTGGCTGTTTCAAATGAGTGGGGAAATGCTTCATTTATAATATGTGTTGTATGTTCCCACGTCATTAGATAATTTGTTAGTAATAGAATGATACGCCATACCACCAGGAATCACAGAACACCGGAAACAGTTCAAAAGGCTTTTATTCTGACATTGTGGACAGGAAGTACAACTATATAATTGTGTCTGCTTTGACAGTAGTGCTGTTGTAGTTGCTCATTGCGGCCACAAGAGGGCATAAACTCAGGATTTGTCAAAACTATTAACAGAGCAGGTTGATTAACCGTAAGAGTTTTTTTATATCAATTCTAACTATAATGCTGTGAAAAGGTATGGTATACAAAAAAGATTTAACACTTGTGTTCACTAAAACCCTCAATATGCTATTGTGTCTGCTTCAGCGCTTGTTAGAGTTTATGGTTAAAAACAGCATTTATAGCCCATAGAATACAATCACATGTAGACACTGCCCTCTGGCGGACACAGTGTGTAACTACAACCGTCTCTGTATTTAATTTGAAAGTGCCTACCGGAAGTGACCCTGTGTAATTGTGTCTGCCTTAACACAATGCACATGATATAGTAACGTGATGTGACCACTAGATGGCAGTATACAGCTAGCATTGCTCTTTTGCCAGCCCTCAATTCTTCCCCCGCATACAGAAACGATAGCATATGACTGCTTCCGGTATATACTTTCAAAATAAATATTTTTACATCAATAGCTCAGTTGTTTAGTTACAAATGGATTAATTTCTTACACTACAACCATTACGGCACAACTTCCCTAGCTAGCAAAATGTAGCTATCTCTATTTTTGGTTCCCAAGTCTCCTAGTCTTGTTGCAAAACAAAAAGTATATATTAAACGTCGTGTGGTGGCCGCCTGTTTTCATGAAGTCCATCAACTCCATCCTGTGAATCGCAGTCGTGACGGTCTGAGAGCAGAAATTTAGCAATTTACAAGTATTCATGCATCAAGTGTATGTTGTTAACTTAACCGGTTGATTTCACTAGTTCTGAAAGAAGAATGACTCTGAAAACGGCTGTAAAAATACATCAATAACAAACAGCTTCCGGGCAGATTTTCTATATTTCTCTCAATGCAAATCAAAATGTTACCTTAACCCTTACATACTGTTTATATTTGATACCTTCACAGTATGGTTCGGGTCAATTTTGACCCAGACCAAGAATTCCCTCATAGTAAGTGTCTATACCAAATTTTAAACTACAGATCTATTTAGAATGTATAAATAGCCCATGTCTCATTAATACATGTATGATTAATCCTTAATAAATGTTTCAGAGAGCAGGAAGAGTGTATTTTTTAAGTTTTACAACATTTGTTTTTGGAGAAAAACCTCTACTATTACACATTATCATGCCCTGTTTTACATAACACATACAAACATAAAAGCCATAATGAGACATGAGAGTATTTATCTCATAAAATGAATACAAAATATGGAACTCTTTGATTTATTGAGTCTGTAAATCAACTATAAAGAGATTTTTAACGCTTGTTGTGCCGGTAAAAACAAAAATTAAATTTGAAATGAATATCGAGCGTGACATATTTCTAGCAGGTATGAAGGCGCTGTGGTTTCCAGTAGCTTAATTCATAGCTTTGTCTTTGCTGCTGACCTGGAGCCTTCCCGTTCTGGCTGCGCGACAAGACCTGCAGCCGCATCACCACCCGGGACTCGTCCTCGAGGAGGGCGGGCTCTTCCACCGCCGGGAGGAGGGGGAGGAGGAGGAGGATATGTGAGTGGTGAGTGGACGCAGTTATGCCAACAAGCCGATTATTGAAGACTACTGAAGCCTCTCTGTCAATTTGCGTTCGATCAAACAAAGACGGACACACAATACATCTGAGGCTGAAGTTTTTGTTTTTACGGGGCGGAGGATTCATTCAGCAAATCACAGGGAAGTACTTTTTTTAATGGCTGCAACTTTTTATGGATTTGAGAAAGCCATTGTTTCTATTATATACGATTTAGAGACTTGCAATGTGTATTTGCTAATCTGTAGAGAGCTAAAAGTGTTTTTTAGTCGCTGTGGTGTCACTGTTTTATATTTTTAATCTCAGTACCTGCATGTTACTTTATGTTTACAGCCTGCCTAAAAGTATTTCAGAAAAGTTTTTTTTATTTTGTGAAGGAAGTTAACACTAAAAGAATGCATGAAATGAAAATGGCAGCTGCAGTTTACTTTTTTAGTAAGTGAACTTTACAACCAGGTCCCTACAAGCCAAGTCATAGGGAAAATAGAGCCCACTTTGTCTTGCCCAGTTTAAAGTGCAAAGTATGAAAATGAACAGCCTCTCCAGGAGTACCGAGGACCAGAGAAACATTAGCGAGAGCCCGTCTCACAAACCGGAGACATCCAGGTACCGCAGCTGGAGCAGCCTCCGCTTCTCAAGGTGGAGAAGCGGCTCCCAGCGGACGACCCCCCCTGGTACCCCCTCCCCAAAGGCAGAGAAGAGGGCCGATGTGACCAAGACGCTCTTCTCCTTGGTTCAGACTCACAATGACGACTTTACGGCAGATCCAGATGGCGTACTTGAAACCAACGAGGAGGGCGAAGGAGGCAGCGACTACACAAAACCCTCATCGGACCAGTCCACCTACTTCCAGAAGAATTTAGTGTCAATTTTGCAGCCCGGGGTCAACAAGTTCTCCCTGCGCATGTTCGGCAGCCATAAGGGTGTTGCTGCTGAGCAGGCCAGGGTCAAGAGCTTTGGAGTGTGGATCATCCACCCTTACAGTGATTTCAGGTAATAATGAGGTTATCTTCAGAGTTTCCTCGGTTTCCTTTTTATTTCCGTGCTGTTTGTGGGAATGCTTGCCCCCATTATTTCTACATTAACATGAACAGAACATGCAAAATGGGTGAAAACACAAGTCAGTAACCTTTTGCCAAAACAAGATTCCCCAATTGGTCGTTAATCTTTCTCAATCTTCCCTTGAACTGTATCCAGTTTACATCCAACCGAACAGACTGTGACGGTGCTGAGATGCAATTTTTCAAAGACAGCAGCTGATGTCAGGGTCGGTCTCACATGATAAGGCGATGAAGGGATTTGATTAGTGATACAGTATATAGGACAAGCTCATCTGGATTAATGATACTACTGGAAACTCCCTTTCTCCCTGCTGAGGAGGAGGTAGAACTACATTCATTGATCCTGTTAATTTAAGTGATCCAATGTATTCCATTTGAAAAACAGCCAATATTTTTTTGCTCTAGTTTAGCCTCACTTTTGGAGGATTTGTCAGATCATTCAGCTTTTGTGGCGGAGCAACATCCTAGCAGCGATGCCCCAAGCAATCCGTATGTGTGGTCCCTAATAATAGCCGCCATCAAATTTAAACAATTTTTAAACACCAGGCCTATGCCAGACAGAGAGGATAAACACGTGCAGAGGGATTATTGCCCATAAGAATCCCTATAATTCCAATCTTGCTCTATTGTGCAATAATACACAGACAGCTGAGGGGGGGGATTACCGGAGGCCTGCTCTCCTTAAACCTTATGCTCCAACTTCCCCGTTTTAATGGATGAGTTGGAATAGCACATTTGTGGTTACAGCTTTCCTGTTTAGTGGTTAAGGTTGGATAGCTGGTTTCATTTTGCATTTTGAATCCAATTTAAAATTGGCATTTAATGACGGAATGACATACAACTGATATCCAAAAGTGGCATTGCGATCACATTATATGGTACATTTTTTCATCACCAGGCCTCTTGTCAAATCTTTATCTCCTCCCTTATTGTTTTTAGTAAAGATTATTATACGAAGCTTTCAGGTCAAAACTATCTGAACTTAAAGTCAGGGGCTCTCCAAAGTCACTGGGCTTCATCCTCTGCAAAACATGAATATCTGTACCAACTTTAAAGTTAGCATTTGTAACTAACAAGAGTACGCTAGATTTTTTGAAATGATCCAACCGAAAAGCCAGCCCAGTGTTGAACAACTCTTTAACAATGAATGTAGTGAGCAGCACAAGCTTCAAAAGTTGCTAAATCTAGCAAGAAAGTTGTCAAGTCGGCAACACTGTCAGCCCGTTCCTGCCAGGCGGCAACCACAGAGTCCGATAAGTTAAGCCAATGTAGAAGTACCTTAAACTTGAATTCTTTCTAATGGCCATCAGGGGCGACTCCTCTCCTCCTCTACTAAGAAGTGTGATCGTATAGATGTCTATGAGAAAATGACCCTACTTCTCACTTGATTTATTACCTCATCAAACATTGTCTCAAATGGTCTCAATCACTAGTTTCAAGTCTTATTCAATACAGCATGATGTTCATTTAGTAAATGATGGTCCCGTTTAGAGTAAAATAGACAATAGAACAGGGGATGCTTTGAGGCGTTGTCCGTCCTGGAAGTTGTAGTTGTTTTCATCCTACAACTTTAACCCTTTCACAGTTTGTTTTCAGTTCATGAAAGTTAATTGAACCATTTTGGTCCCCTAAAAATGTCTTATTCAGCGTTTGGATGTACTTTGCTCCACCCTCTCATTGCAAAAAGCCCTCGATGATGACAGCCAAATGCCAAGATGGTGACGGCCAAAATACCGACCTCGAGGCTTTAAAACAGCAGTCCACAAACCAATGGGTGATGTCACGGTGACTACTTCCACTTGTCTATGGTCCCTTCAGACCTCTCTCCAAAGCCACTCCCTCAAAATGATCATTATGAATGTAAACATATAATAATCATGAACGAATGAACGTGAACATCAAACGTGGCTATTGTTACTACTCACAGCTGTCAAGCTTGTGGACGGCTCCGGTGACGCACAATGAGTGCAGATGCAGAGTGCGCGCATGCAGGCAGGTGGAGAGGCAGGTAGGCCGTCTAATCATTTAATTCAGGCCAAAGGAAATGATTGGACGGGTTTATTTCAGTCTTGCCAGATGCCAGATTTATTTTCTCTATTTTGTCAGAACATTTATTAATTATGTAATAGTTATAGTAATACTCAATCCTGGATTTAGATTCAACATAAAATGCTTTTATAAAACCACGTTCCTATTCCTGTTCCACTCCCGCTTTTATTAATAGCTAAAACGTCTAAAAGGTTTTCATACAGCAGAATTAACTCTGCCTCTCACACGCTTCATGTAAACAGCCATAATGGCGTCCAGAGTCTTTGGTGGAGTTATTAGCAGCAAGCATCCACTAATCTGCTGCAACATGAGAGGAGATGATAAGTAGTCATGTAAACCAGCGTGTAGACACAGACGACATGGATAGATGGAGGGATAAACGTGAATGAGAATGGGGAACTAATCTATCCCTTCCTGTGTCTCTGCTCTGACCGGCTAAAGAACACTATCATTTTCTCACAGGGTTCATATGGTGATCACTGACAAGTGACGGTAGTCAGACATAGTCTGGTCCATATTCTGTTACAGTGCCTCTGTCATGAGAGAGAGAGAGAGAGAGAGAGAGAGAGAGAGAGAGAGAGAGAGAGAAGAGAGAGAGAGAGAGACCCGAAGTGATTGATTCGTGATGGAAACAACATGTAAGGAAACCCAAACCGTGTACTTGTGGTGTATAACGAGACACTGGACACTAATAGGAAAATGGGACTTCTATGACACGAAGCAGACAGGGATGATTGAAGCTATGTGCAGCGCAGACATCTGGGCTTCAACATACTAAAAGCAGCAGACCGCCTATCAGACATTTCCAGTGGCAGTGACGTTTCTCTTTTCTTCAATGTCTTAATATTGAGCCCGCTGAGGTAAACACCATTCATTGTTGATGAGAAGGGGTTCCCCTTGTGACAGCAGCTTGTTATGAGAGTACGGCTCACCTTCCCTTGATGGTACACTATTTATTCGATAACTTCACTTGACCTTGATTGCTAATACTATACTATGCTATGCTATACTTAAAGGAATAGATTTGGACTTATTCGCTTTCTTCTTAGTAGATTAGAAGATCGAAGCCAATCTGTCGTAAGTATGGAGCCAGATCTAAGAGGTGACTAGCTTTGCTTTTGGCTGGCTGTGTCCAAAGGCCGAATAAATAGCTTAACAGCACCTCTAAAGCTCACTAATTATATATTATTTGTTTAATTCATATTCAAACAGAAAATTTGTGATTTAACGAGGAGTTGCGGTTACTAATAGGCAACTACGGTAGGTAAGCTAAGCTAGATCTCTCTTGGCTCCACCTCCTTACTAAAAGCACATAATGCATGTAACAGACTTTACTGTATGTCACTGGTGTTTCTCTGTTTACGGAATACTGTAAGACACTCTGGAACAGCTGCAACAAAACAAACACTGTAGACACCAATAGACTAGCTTTTGTTGCCTGCAGCTATAAGGCTTTTAACCTCCCGAAAAGCTCCCCGGGGCTCTCCTGAACTCTGAACCCAAAGAAGTTCGGGTTGCACGATCAACTTGACAATCAGCATTATTGCCAGAATTCGCTCATATCTGTTCACACATGTATAAACCAAGAGCACTTCCATGTATGAGCCAGTAAGAGGACTTGTTCCTGTGTTTATAGCGCTTTCATTGCATTTTTAATGTGCTTGATATATTTGTAAAGTTAGCACATTATGTAGCACACATATATATCAAATTTTAATTGCTTACCTGTATCATAATGCTGCTGTAGCGAACACATTTCGTATCTATCTATCACCATAACAATTTCTACACTATATTATAATTTTTGGATTTTGAATCTTTTAATTTTATGCAGGAGTGCATTTCTGTTAGCCTGCAAAAGACAGACTTAGATATAAGTATAAATATTTATAATCTTTCTTTTATTAATTTCCCTCAGATTTTCTTTGAATATTATCATTTACTTATACATTTAAGAACAATTCAAAGGTCCTCAAGAGGATGCTCAGAGCACTAAAATAGCTTTAAACAGCAAGAAACCGTATTATTTTATTAAGGAGCAAAAAGGGGACACTGGATGTATCTGGATCACTGTACAACAATAGTGGAAAAGGTTTTGGTGTTTAGTTGTACATAAAATGCTCACAGCTTTACATCTGCACAACCATCACACTCCCACCACTCCTGTTCTGTCCAGGTTTTACTGGGACATCGTGATGCTCCTGTTGATGATGAGTAATCTGGTCATTTTGCCATGGGGAATCACCTTCTTTGAAGACCAGAACACCGGGCCCTGGATCACCTTCAACGTCCTGTCTGACACTCTCTTCCTCATGGACCTGGTTTTCAATTTCCGCACAGGCATCCCGGTAGAGGACAGCCACATCATCCTGGACCCCAAAGATATCCGCATGCAATACCTCCGCACCTGGTTCCTTGTGGACTTCATCTCCTCCATCCCCGTTGACTACATCTTCCTCGTTGTAGACCTGGAGTCCCTGCAGGACTCGTCTGACGTGTACCGCACCGCCCGTGCCCTGCGCATCGTGCGCTTCACCAAGATCCTCAGTCTGCTGCGTCTTCTCAGACTGTCTCGCCTCATTCGTTACATTCACCAGTGGGAGGAGGTAAAGGGAGGATGAGGCTCATGATGACATACAGAACAGTACACATCAGAAATTCAACTTTTGTCCAGTTTAATGTTGGCTTCTTTCTTCCATACAACTTCCTCTCTCTCAGATTTTCCACATGACTTATGACCTGGCCAGCGCTGCGGTGCGCATAGTCAACTTGATTGGTATGATGCTGCTGTTGTGCCACTGGGATGGCTGCCTGACCTTCATGGTGCCTATGCTGCAAGACTTCCCCCCAGACTGCTGGGTATCCAAAAACAACATGGTGGTGAGTACATGTTCATTAATACATACTCACATGCATGTTTTACAAAAAAAATGTAAACCTGGAAAACAAATCTATCTCAATTTATTGGGAAAATTGTTTTTTACTTAAAAACCATAATCCAAAATGTAATATATGTGGAATTGTATGCTTGCCAGTTACAATTTTACTCATTCAGCTGACCTCCTGTGCACTGACTAAAAGACTGTTTAGGTTCCAATTCATTTGATTCAATTAATGGAATAGTTTGAATGAGGAGATTGAAGCCCCTCTCTGACATTAGATTGGTTTTAATCGTCTCACCCATCTCATCAAGTGAATAACTGTATTTCCCCAAATGTTAAACAATTTCTATAATTACAAGTTCACCAGTTGAAAACTGCATTTATTTTTCTTATAATGAATACCAAATTACATTCATTCCAGGAAAGTTCTAGGAAATGATTTAGCGACCTTTATCTGTAGAATAATGTTACTGTAAAAACGTCACTTATGCTGCATTCATGTGGCTATAGCCATGTAAAGTATATTTTCTCCCTTCGTTGTTTACTCTGTCCTTCCCAGAATACTACATGGCACCTACAGTACTCCTATGCCCTCTTTATGGCCATGAGTCACATGCTGTGTATAGGGTATGGTGCCCACCCTCCAGAAGGCCTGACTGACGTTTGGCTCACCATGATCAGTATGGTCGTGGGGGCCACCTGCTACGCCATGTTCCTTGGTCATGCAGCGAACCTGGTCCAGTCCTTGGATGCATCACATCGCCAGTATCAAGAGAAGGTAATCACCTCTGCACTGTCTGCAAAAGATTAACACACTAAAACATTTTGACCTTCAGCTTCAATTGTTTTGTGCACGATATGTCCCAATAGCTTCACGTGGAGGCTAATGTCATTCTGGCTGCAAGGTTTAATATCACAGCCATGTTTTATATCATAGGCTTACCTACTCATGCTTTATTCGTGGAAATTGTGCCAAATGCCTAGAGAATATTTATATTATCTAATTGTTTTTGTGACCTGACTCTAACCCTTTCCAGGGGATTTTCACAAGATAAAGCAGAACGGATGATGGAGAAATGATGGCACCATTGTTTTGGATCACTGTTCGCTAATGCCCATTACAAATTAGTTTATAATCCACTTAAAAATGGAAAAAAACTACAAAACAAATATAATAAATGCGTATTTATTGTGCTTAGGAATAATTCAGCAAACACATGGTAGAAAATGTGTCTAGATGTGACATCTGACATCAGCTCTGTGGAATTCCAATTGTATCCTCATGAAGGTCAAATGTCCATGTGTTTTGTACAAATGATTTCAGTACAAGCAAGTGGAGCAGTACATGTCGTTCCATAAACTGCCGGCGGATGTAAGACAGAGGATCCATGATTATTACGAGCAGCGATTCCAAGGCAAGATGTTCGATGAGGACAGCATCCTTGGAGAGCTCAGTGATCCGCTGAAGGAGGTGTGTTATTCATGAGACCATCCATTTGACTTTCTGTCTCTTGCTTTCTCTCCATGTCTCTCTTTATCGAGACATGCCCACACAGATGCAACTTTAAGCCTGAAAGATAAGTTCAAAAGCAATATATTTATTAGTCTGAGTCCAAAAACATGAAGATATTCAGTTTACAATGATATAAAAGTAGCGTATCCTCTCATTGGAGTAGCAGGATTGTTTACCAATTTTTCACATTTCTTGCTTGAAAATAGCTGAAATGATTGTATATCTAAAAAGTTTGGATTCATTTTTTGTCCATCAATTAATCAATATCACAATAATATTCCAATGTTTATATTCTCTTTATCATGATATGAAAAATGTATGCGGTGTTATTTTTTTTAATAAGTCGATCAATGGTGTTGATAGCAGAAATTTGCCCATCAAAATTTCCTTAAGCCAAAGGGGACATTTTCAAATATGAGCTGATTCGTAGTTAATTCATTGATTAGATAGTCAACAAAAAAAGCTTCCCAATGTGAGGATTTTCTGCTTCTTGCAACTTGAATCATTGGGTTTTGGACTGTTGGTCAGACAAAACAAGACATTTCAAAAAGTTTAAAGTTTTGTAGACCAAGCGATTAGTCCAAAAAATAGTCTGAACATGAATCGCATAAGCAGTTAATCTGTATCAAAACAGTGGATCATTCATTTTCTATTTGATTAATCAATTGATTGACCAAACATCAGCTTCAGTTTCAGATCTACAAAACTTGTCACACATGTAAAACAAGAGCATCAATGAATATGTTTACTTTCTCAATAAAATGAGCTCAGAATCATTCATTTGAACAGCTGAATGTAATAAAATGATAACAATGGTAACGTAGAAAATGTCTCAGCATCACTTATCTTAATGTCTTCTCTCTCCACTCTTTCCACCATGCAGGAGATTGTCAGCTATAACTGCCGTGGGCTTGTAGCCAACATGCCACTGTTTGCCAACACCGACCCTCATTTTGTGACAGTGATCCTGACCAAGCTGCGTTTCGAAGTCTTCCAACCTGCGGACCTTATTATACGAGAAGGAACGCTGGGTCGGAAAATGTACTTCATCCAGCACGGCAGCGTCACTGTCATCCCACGTGGCAGTAAAGAGATTACACTCAACGATGGAGCATATTTTGGAGGTAAATCATTTGTGAATCATTTAACCTTCAAAAAGTTTCCCATCAAATTCTTAAGAGGATGGTTGTGTTTCCTCTCCTGTTGTTAAAGCTGTCGCTGACCCCTTTTCACTTTTTCTGCACTTGCTATACAAATGTATTGCTCATGTGTACAACATCTTATCATCCAGACACGGCCTTGAATCTAAGATTGCAACATCCAATTATTTTATCGATTATTGATTAATCTGACAACAATTTTCATAATTAGCTGATGAATTGTTTGGCCTAGAAATGTTTAAAAAATACTTTACAAAAAAAAAAGACCCATTACAATTTCCCAAAACCCAAGCTGAAGTCTTCGTTGCTTGTTTCGTTTAACCAACAGTCTCAAAGCCAAATATATCTAGTTTACCTTCTTGGAAGACCTAATAATTTGACATTTTACGAGTTAAGCTTATTTGCTTTCTTAATTATTTTTAGATGATAAGATTGGTACCACTTTCGTATCTATACTCTAGAGTCAGCAGCCAGTTAGCGTAGCTTAGCACAAAGAGGGGAAACAGGGGGAAACAGCTAGCTTGGCTCAGTCCATTATGCTTAGCTGAGCGAGCCAGCTGATGGCTATAGCTTCGTAATTACTGTACAGACATGAGAGTGGTTTCATTCATCTGTTTCTTGGAAAGCGAAAGATTTTCCAATACATTGAACTATTGCTTTAAAGGTTAAACTGACTCTCTCTTCCTTGGTTCAGAGATCTGCCTGCTAACCCAAGGACGACGCACAGCCACCGTGAGGGCTGAAACCTACTGTCGCCTTTACTCCCTGAGCGTGGACAGTTTCAACGAGGTCCTGGAGGAGCATCCTCTAATGAGGAGGGCGTTTGAGAGTGCGGCTGTGGACCGACTGGGCCGGGTGGCTCGCAGACCCAGTTATCAGCCTCCACCAGATGAGTGATTTCCTCAGTACCAACGAAGAAAGACGCCTGCCAGAAATGTGGAGGATATTTGTCATGCTGTGACTGATCTTGACCCCATAACAAAGAAACCTTTGTTGTAAATTTGACTAATTGCAGTTTACTTTAGTGCTCAATGATGGATGTAGAACCTCAGTTTTATTTATTTACACATTATTGCTGCACTTGGTTGAAAATAGTGCACCTTCAGTTGATTTTGTTTTGTTACTTGGTTCTCAAGGCGTTAGCTGAAATCAAATTTTGTGTTAGATCTTTGTATATATTTCATGTTAGATTCATTGTGTCATTTACAAATCGATGAAAAAAAAATCACAATTTTCTAGTTTCTTCAGCAACTTTGGTGATACATGTGCTTTTTTACCATTGGCAACATTAGCTTTTTCAAATGTAAATACTGCTTTAATAGTTATTTTTAGTTGCCTGTATGCTTTCTGGCACTGCAGTTTCATAATCCATCACATCATTTATACGAGCGCGGGAGCACCAGCTGGGCTACACATCACATGGCTGAATGTAGCGCTGATTCTAATGATCCCTCAGATCTGAAGGTTGCATCAAGTCACGATTTAATATCAATGTTCACTGAGGATAAGCTGCTGTGATGTAATAACTCCAACTGTACAGATACAGATTGCACACAGATATGCATCATTGTTTAAATGGCCACATTTAATAGTGTTCAAACTTGAAGAGGTAATCTAAAAAAAATTACCTTTTCATCTCTCCAATTCGGTGTCCAGTATTACTTTGATTTCTTTCCACACATGGACTTAAGTTACTGACTTTCCTTTTGAATAACACTTTCATCTGTTTTAATTCTCTGCTGGCAATTAATATGCAAACAAACATTTCGCTTTAAATAGGCAGAAATATATAAATAATATATTATTAGTTACATTAATAATATATTTATTTTATAATAATAAATAAAAGTCAGCGCATATATATATATGTTGATGCAGGAAAAAAAACGTATGATTGATCTGTGCAACTTATTATCAGACAAAACAAACATCTCTTGTGTATTTGTGCTGTTAGACTGTTTTTATTCATACAGAGAATTTATTTTCCAAATAATTTTGATGCAAAGAAAAAAGCCATTGTTTATCAAATGTCCTCCATTTTACAGCAATGTAAAGTGAGACTGCAGTCACATGAATTTGTTCAATTTTATTTAAACTTTCTGATGAATGATCCTCATACTTATGTAATGTAAATATACATATTTATACCCTTTAAACATGAATATGTTTTTTTAGCCTATGCAGTTTGTTTAGACACACACACACACACACACACACACACACACACACACACACACACACACACACACACAC